GCAGATAAAGATTCGACATGCTTCGAAGCAATAGAATGTGTTGTAGAATTGCTCCCAGTGTTCGATTCCGATTCGAGTTGACGCCATATATTAAAGCATAGTTCATCAAGCGACTCTTTACTGGGAAGAATGTCTAGAAGACAAATAAAAAGGTCAATTTACTATTTATTACTAATCAACCAGCATCTACTAATGAGGAATAAATGTTAAACTGATAAAATACTAGTGCGAAGACTAATCGGACATCCAAACCGAGACAGGTGATTGTCTAAGAGAGAATTACTTTAAACATTTGACCTAAACGCCCAGTTCAAAATCCAACGGGACATCAGGAGACGAAGTGTCACGATAGCCGGTGACTGGTGTGATTTGCTGCACCATTCATTCTTTTGAGATCCATGTGGATCAACAATTTCAAGTCAAGATTTTCCAACTTCCCTGAGAGAGTCCTTTGTATTCACTAGCCCGGTTTATGCGTCCGAATTCCGTCCCACCTTCTCCTCTGTATAAAAATATAGCATTTGAAAATAGTAAGAACTTGCTTGAAAGAGGTTATAAATGAGCCATTATATGTAAGAACGTCAAGATAGAGAAAGCGATCTCATCCAATCCCATTATACCAGAGTATTCCATAATTCGAATAAACGAAAAGTTCACTAGTATAGAAATGAAGTAGCCATTATACTAGCTATGGAGACTTGATGGATTTCTATATTTGGCTAAGATTTCGCTCAGATGACCACACTAGTACATGACCGAAAACCTCAGAAAGGAGCACTATTACACTCAAAGTTTTTGTACCCACAGAAAGCTACTGAACTAACGCAATTTTCCTGAAGTTTGACTACAATTAAACAAAGACGAAATAGGATAGAGAGATCCAGAGCCGAGTATATATATATATATATATATATATATATATATATATATATATATATATATATATGAGGTGCATAGTTGTATTAGCGTTGGCGTTGACCATTGGTTCAACGAACATTCAATCTAACCATTATGCTTCACTTTCAATGCTTGCGTTGAGCTCAAATCAGTCATAGACAACAAGCGACCTGAGCATAAGCGTACAACGTTCAGGTTGGCTTACAACAATATGAAATGGAGTGAAAATAGTAACATTGATCACAGTGGTGAAATAAATGAAACGAACAAGTTATGAGATGAACGACTGATATTGAAAAAAAGTATAATATCACACGAAACCCAGGATTTATGAAGTGTTAAACATCATGTCTATATCTCCAAGCACACAGTTCAAACAGATAATAATTCAGTGGATTTCTGCCATGTCTTGGTTTGGTCGCCTCATTTTCAAATGTACCACAATGTTCGCCAGTAAAATAGACCCAGGTAGATAGAGGCTGGACATACGTTAAGTATTTTCTAGTCAGTTTAATCAATGAGAGGCCACGAATCTAATATTCACATAATGATTTCAAGGGAAAATTTCGTCTGAAAAGCAAATGGAGTGTGAAAAATGAATATCAAAAGTTTAACAAATGGAGCTTGACTTAATTGAAGTAAATAATCAAGTAACAAGAAAACCTTATGTGCTAGTATACGAATATCTGCATAGATTTAACAACACAGTCCTATTTGATAGCTTATCATACTTAACAAAATACTGCAATATTGAATTAAGCCTAAATAAATTTGTTTGGAAAACTTTACAATCCTCAGATCTACACAGATTCGTATTAATTTATGCGATTCTAGTATAAATCTACACACTATTCATAGCAGTTACATGTAGTCATGCTGGAATCATGCTGGCGAATGTCTGAACAAAGAAAAAATTGCTTGATGTTTCATGAAGAGATAGTATTAAAAATAATGTAGATTAGGTAGAATTACCGAATTGACCATCGTGAGGATTGGCAAAAACAACCAAGTCGAATGCAAATGAGGAAGACTGAAAAATATAACAAGAATTAGTAACATGAAACATGTATTATCTAATAATATGTGTATAGTGATTGCATTACTTATCACATACATACACTGCATAAATATTAAGGTGTAGTCTTTAAATAGGACTGAATATGTTGGAAGAAAGCTAGGGGTGGTCGAAGCAACACGTGACTTTGGTCCATTAAGTTAGTAACGGTTGATCTGGGCCAAGTTAGTAGATGCAGATTACCTGGTTGATTTCTTCAAAGTAACCTCAATCAGTGATTGGAGACGCTGAGTGACAATTTCGAATCAGTGTAATGGTGTAGACTCATTTATTTCTTATCTTTCAATCAATCTGAAGTTTCAATGCTCTTACACACATAACTTTGTATTCCGTTTTCTAGAACGTAGTTCTTAATTTTGGATATTTCTTACTGCCACTAATGGCAGTGACACACTTGATGGAAAAGCTTTGGAAGAGATAGGAACTTTTACGTACCCGATCAGTATCACTGATAGACGAGGATCTACTGCAGATGTGAAGGCATGAATTAGCAAAGAAAGGGCAGCATTCCTACAATTAAAGGGTATCTAGAGATTAAAACAACTGTCAGCCAACATCAAAATCTGACTGTTATTCGTTGTTAAGGAGTTTCTTGAGGAGTTCGATGTTACTCGTTTTAGTTTAAAAGTGTTATAATTTCTCTTATTACGACTCAGATACTCTTACTGCTTAGTACTCTTGGACACTATTTCACTCGACAAGTCCCTAAATCAGAACACCGTTGAACAGGAACGTAGTTATATTCCAAATAAAAGGTTGGATGGAAGTAGGAATCACAATAAGAGAAACGTTAGTATATTTATAGTTTTTTACATTAAAAAATTCTAGTCTTCTCCAAGTGTCCACTAGCGCTGATTAGATAAGAAATAGCCAGTGTGCTCCAACAAAACCCAGTACGAAACGTGCTTTAATTCAATTTATATCCTGCTGACAAAGTAACGAAGTTTCACATATAGGAACGTTACTGCTAACTTACTCAAATTTAGACGACAGCCTGGAATAGTTATATCAATCGGTGGTGAGATAAATTTTAACGATCGAGTCTTAATCTCAAATGAATTATAAAGTATGCAAAAGTTCAACTTTGTGAAAGAAATTTTCCCAGATTTAATTACTTCCTTACAATGAAATGGGCCTGGAATAGATAATTTTCATTACGAAGAGATTGGAATATCAAATATTTGTGGGAATAAATGTGAAATGCTCCCACAAATCCTGTCCAGTTGGAGAATTTACAAGAAAACTAGTAAATATTCATTTCAAAGAGTTAGATGAATAATTTCTAATAACTAAAGCTGTCACTGAAATTGTATTAATGCATATGTCATTAAGGTCTAGGAGTTACTATAGGTAAGTAAGATATTAACTTATTCCATACGTATGGTAATTTGCCTTCAGCTACAATTTTCGTGTGAGTGCTATTGTTATTACATGATTGACTGAACTAAAGCAAATGAATCTTCGTTTGAAACTATGACCTGTTAATTGAAAACAAGGTTTTTTACAAAAAAAAACAAGTAATTACACCAATTTACATCCCTGTAATCAAATTATGGAAATATATAACCACTGAGATTATCTCCATTATTATCAAAAACCGACATGGTTCTATTAGAAAATGAATCCTTTCAGCGGCAAAACGCCTGACATTATCGTTTCCTAATAGATGGAATATGATATATAAAAATAGTATGGCGATTAAAAAAATAAGGGGGAAATTAACAACGATTATAATGTATAATTCGGGTTTCTACAACAATGGGCATTCACAACGCTACTACACAAGATCAAATACATGGTCATCTAAGGAGGATAATACCTTAAGACTATTGAGTTGAAACGCAGACTGTTGGAATCTCATCCTGTCCTTAGACACAGGATCTTGTTTGAATGATGTAGTCATAATTGTTCATTTATAAGAATGTTTTCAACTGAACCAATACAGTTGTTGTTGGAAATGCTAGATCCCCAGAACTCAATTGGTAATTTTATTATGGAAATCTAAATTTCTCATTTTCGCACCAAAAGCGCCCATTTCTGCCTTTAGTATGTCTTTCCCACCTAGAAGAACCTTAAATGTCATTGTTTCGTTCCTTCTTTTAGTACGCTAACTTGTAACGTCTCCCACGGAAATTTGTGTACTGTATATATATGCATAAATTGTGTGATTGTTCGTTTGTGCTTACGGTAGCTTGTGGAATATATAGTTTTCCTGGCTGAATCTGGTCTTCTCCCTCAGTGAAATCGCTTAGCTTGTCCTGTTATTGTGTTGCTAACTTTCGTTCCGTTTGCCGGTTCTAGGCGATATCGTAATCTCTTCAAACGTAGCAGTTGTACAGCTCGTTCTGATCTTTAATAGCTCTTCAAATGACGTAAGTTTATGACAGAAAATTACCTTGAAATGATACAAAATATTCACACACATAAACACACTACTACCATAGTAAATAATAAACATTAAATTTAAAGTATAAATAACAACACTAAAAAAAATATTACCACGCACAAAAGCTCTTACTTGTAAACATTTTAAAAATGGCTTAGGATCTCGTGGACCAGTTACAGTGAAAATAATAATTCGTATAGGACGTCTATCAAGCAAATAAGAATATTGAAATGGGAATTAATCATGTTTAGACGTGTGCAAAATTATTTTACATGAAAAAGACACAGAGAGAGCGAAAGAGAATGTAAAATTTATCCTATGTTTCAATAGAATAAACTCGTGAAAGAACATAAATTGTTGATGTTGAGATGACCAATATGCAATGCTAACTTGAACCAGCTTATACTCCAAGTGGTCAAAATGAATATGAGTCAGACAGAATAAGATAAATGGTAGTTTAATTACAAATTCGATTAAATATATGGTGGAAGATTATATTGTATACAAGGTTATATGACTTCAATAAGAAATAATAAAGTGTCAAGTACATGAGGTAGTGTATGATACCGTTAGATAAGTTCCTATATGATTTATTTTAAGAATTTCGATTATGCTTGTTAGTTTCTCTTTTTCTTTCTTTTTCATTTGTTATCAATGTGTTTTTTTCAAAAGGCTGGAGATAACCAATAGCTTTGTAGTTTTGGGGTGTAAGGATTAAATTTAGCAACATACACTCACTTCTTATCTTTATGAATTCATTTACTTATTTAACAATTCAGAACTACTTCATATAGAAGAATTTAGACCAAGTTAGCATATAAATGGGCTGAGATTTTCGTAAATTGTGGTCTACTATCACTTTGTTAAAGATATTAACAGTAAATAGGAAGAAGTCAGAAAAAACGATTTTGTTTTTTTTCGCTTATTGGAAAATACAAATAATAACACACATTATTTATCCAATGCCCAGAATTTTTCAAACCATTAGATTTGAACTTGGTTTGGACACTCTGAGTTATTCATATTGATCAATGATAATTGTGCAGTATGGTATTAGTCAAGTCACAAAAGGAAAATAAGATTCCAACAATTTCAACCCCTTGTGGTAATGGTAATGGGGTATGGCAACTTGGACAAATTTACACACGTAACAGGCCCTACGTTGCGTTTGATTTACTGACTGACTGAAATATTAGATTATGACGACCAGCGGGTAAAGCAAATGAGCAAGAAAAAACTTTCGTAAATAAAACGAATAAAAATGGTATTCAACATCGAAAAAATGTACGGAAACATACCTGCTATTATTTGAAGCAAAGCTCTTATTCTGAAACCATTTTATTGCAGACTGACAAGAAAAAGAAAAATCAAACATTACAAAATACACATCATGAGTGAATTGTGAAAAGGTGAATTGAAATATAAGGAAATAATAGTTAAGTTACAAAATAACCAAATAAAGACAGTGGAGAGAAAATTGAAAATCTACCATCTAGTTGGTTAGTACAAAAATGTATTAACCATTAAATTACAGCTGAATATTTACACAGGAAAGTCTAACGAAAAGTAATATCTGAAGATATGTAGATAATTTCACCAATAGACATATACATATGTTGAATTAACGATCATTTCAGGATTTATTCAATTACTTTTTTTTTCTTAATAAGACCAATGAAGCATCGTCGATCTATGTTTGCATGATTATTTGGAGATGGTAAGGAGGTCTGCTAGTATTTATTGAGCTATTTGGTTCGATCACAAAGTTTTTTATTATTTGCCTATTAATAGGAAGTGATTTAAGAAAATGAATTTGTAACTAGGATTTCTTTACAAGTGGCGAGTAGATTGCCCGATAGATGAGATTTGATTCATCGTTACCAGGGAGTAAGTTGTTTACTGAATACGAATATATATCTCAATTTCCTCTATTCCTGAATGATCTTAAATGATAATCATTTTTCTGAATAACTAATAGATCGGGGCTCATGTCGGAGTAAAGACTGACTGCAAAAGACCTTAGTGTTAAAGTTTTCATGAATTCACTACTTTCCTAGGTCTGACTCTATTAAAAAGTTTTCCAATTCAGTTGACTTTCGTCAATGCCTCAGAGATTGAATAGTCAAATAATAGTGTATCGTTTCGATATCTATTTCAATTTCAGTAGTTATACATAACAGATGATTTAAACTAGAACAGATGTTGAAGGGTTCTATACTAAGATGGAATGGCCACCAAGTGTTTCCAAGTTATTAATGATTATCTAAGTATCAGCTCATTATTTAAAATCCAAGAATTTCCACAAAACCGTAGATCAAAAATTTTAAAATGCTTGAATCGCTTCAAATAAACATGTAACTTATTTGCGAAGTACAGATTTATGTACTCCAAAATTAACTATACTTTAGGTTTTAAGACTAGAATTACTAAATGGATGCTCAAATCGAAATCGGGTAGGGCAGAGTCCAAAGTTACAACTAAAAGTCGAGTGATTTGACCATTAAACTAACATCTTATATGACTAGTATCTAATACTCCTATCATTATTTAACAGCTCTATGATTTTCGGCAAACTACTTCCTGTCAAATTGATAATATAAATAAGATAAATATGCGAATTCAGTGTTGTTATCAAAAATAAGCATATATAGATCGGAAATAAGGGCTGTAATTCTGTTAATCGTAGCGAAAATAAATGTTGATTACGTGGTATATTGTAATTTACTATGATAAATGCCAATTAATAACTTTGAATGGTACTCTTACCACAAACATTAAAAAAATTTCGAATTCATTATTATTCACTGTTTAAAACGTTTATTTGGTATAGTGGCAAGCGATATTATGTAAGATTGCAAACACTGGTGTTGAAAAAGATTATGTAAACAAATGAATTTACTAGTTTTTATGACATTAAAGTTATGGGCATTTTAATTCACACGTTATCATTAATTGTCATTATAATATCCTGTGACTGCTGAACAATATTACTTGTCCAGTCAACAATTCGAATCGCGATCCTAATTTGGTTTATTTTGCACCTAACATTTACTCTATAGCTTAGTGTCTCCGATAAGGCCAAGTACACTACCGACCAGTATTACTAACCTTAAGCTGACACAACTAAATTTTCATTCGCCCACGATTCCGGAGCTCTTCTCTATACCCTGTTTTGAGTCCCGAAGTAGAAAGCAAACCTTTTATATCAATAAATTAGACATATGCGGTTTATATGCAGACAGACAAGACCGCATCAAACCATAGAATGAAAAATAATTAAATATGAACGAATAAAAAAGCGACTGTGTGTGTGAGAGAGTATTCTAGTTACATAATAGTCACAGTTGAAATCATGAGTCAATTGAAGCTAGACCACCATCGAAAACCTGGAAGCACTGGACGACCGTTTCGTCCTATTATGGGACTCCTCAGCATGGTGCATCCACGATCCCGCACACGCGAGATTCGATTAATTCTCCACAAAACCCCCTTTGATCTATAATCATATGCTCACTAGTGACTAACTTCAAGAGATATTTCCTTGAGTTCTAGTGGGAAGCAGTGGCCAGTGGAGTTCTACCAGGTCTGTTGTAGAGATATCAACTCACTGAAGACAATTGGTGAACGGTCACTCAAAATCGTGGATTGGTTGAAGTTAGACATTAACACCGTTGGATGCCGGCTCAGTGGTCTATCGGTTAAGGGCTTCGGCTCGAGACGGGTAAGTCCTGGGTTCGAATCTCGCGGGTGCGGGATCGTGGATGCACCCTGCTGAGGAGTCCCATAATAGGACGAAACGGCCGTCCAGTGCTTCTAGGTTTTCGATGGTGGTCTAGCTTCAATTGACTCATGACTTCAACTGTGAAAATACTAAATTCTCCACAAAACCCCCCTCTGAACTTAATAGTCATACAATAAAAAAGTATGTGATAATAATCTATAAAAGATCCTTCATTAAAACCACTTTATGAAGAGTTATTTTTACTAATCACAATCGATTTGTTCATGAATACAGGTATTAAACAAATAAATGATTTGAGTGTATATATATTTAGTGTTCAACTTTACATGCACTTTTTTCTTACACTGATCACATAAGATGAAGTGATTGACATTATTTAGTTTTTAAAATGATAGTTTTGGCACGGCTTCGTTTTCTGAACTGAATGATTCAATAGTGAAATTTCCATTATTACACTGAACAACATCATTAACACAAACTTCAGATAGAAATGAGTTATTCGAATTCTTTCACATATGACTGATAACTTGTCTTGTCGACCTTGATTGGTTATTATTGACCTTTACTTTAACATTGTCTGTATATTCATTTTGAATATTTTCGACTTGTGACTCAATGATTATTGATGCTCTACCGAAATCATCAACCTGAGCTACAAATCTTTGCCATCATCAATTAAGAGTTTAGTATGCGGCTCAATCATTGCAATAAAAGAAATAAACACAACTAAAAAACTTGTAAAATACATTTCATGGTGAGATTACACAATTAATTACAAACTCACAAAAATTACACTTCCTTTATTTATCTAAATTATACTCACCTGTAAACTTTCTACAGTATGTGCACCATCCAGATAATAAGTTATATTTTTTCGAACTACAATTTGCCATCGACCAGGCCATCGGGCGGATAAAGCATCTTTGAAACAAATAAATCCCTCAGTAAATATACATATTGCTTAACCTGTAGGCTAATTAGCTATTATAATAACATTTAACAGATAGTTGACATCCTTCCTACAAATATCTTCGTCTTAACAGTTTTCCGCTATGTCTGGTTGGACACATACAAACTTCAGGCAATATTGACCTCTTTATACATAATTTCTGACTCAAAATCATTTTAATGTTTATAGCGAAACACCTCTTCATGTAATTATAGGCCGTTATATTCGAAAGCACGGTATTTCAGCTATCGCTGACGTTTAAGGTTAACTACCCCGTTTACAAGATCTTACTATAGTGATTTATTTCTATATTTAAACGTATATAGCGATTTGTATCAGTGTAAGTGATACGTTGGAATAATTCACTGAAATAGATGGAAAATAACTGCTTCCCTGTGATTTTGTAGGCTTACTAGTTTTCACGTACTACAATCACTATCACACATTACGCCGAGAAATAGAGACAGACATGAGAAGAATGAACAAAAACTGGATAGAACTAGAAAAGAAGGCCCAGGACAGAGTGGGTTGGAGAATGCTGCTCGGCGGCCTATGCTCCATTGGGAGTAACAGGCTGATACGTCTTGTAGATTGAACGCTATATTCGGATCCTAAGCTAGTTTCATAACCGCCAAGCTAGAATTATACAGCGACTTGAAGACGAGAGAAAAGGCACAAAACATGTGGGAAGCACTTTACTACAAGGTTCATTTATGTACAGAAAATATAGAGTTTTTATAGTATTTTAGAAGTCTTTGGGTTGTACTGAAAATTCCAGAATACTATTCAACATAGTAGCAGTGTAGTTATCAGCCAATCAGAATCTCTACATGTGACTTTTCATTTTCGCTATGCTACTAACATAACTTCTAATCAAACGCTGATTGGATGAAATGCTCCTTAATGTTTCATGAGCTTGGCATGTCGATTGCGAGAAATTTGCATGATCATCCCAACACAGGCATAAGTAAGTAAAAAAAAACAATCACTATTGTAATAAGAAATCTGTGTCTATAAACAAAAAATTATCATCATACCCAATAAACAGATGACCGGTTTTTGTTAGTTTACTTTGTATTATATGTGTAGTAGTTCTACTTATATTGGAACTATATGCACGTAATTCTTAACAACTTTTTGTTGTCACGGTAATTGACGACTACAATCTACGTGTTTAGTAGGAAAATCGATTCCCCTTTACATCTCAATATCTATTACTAACCAGTTGTATCAAAAAACGGCTCGAATAGAATTGATGTAGCTTTTCTTTCTGTAGATACAATTATAGGTTACACAACAATTGAACCGTCAGTTTGCAATGTGGGCAGTTATGCATGTAACTGAATATCGCATGCACTATGCTTTGGATGTCAGATGATCGGAAGTCAAATTAGTAGAAAACCCTGGATTTCGTTTCCGTGTTACCAGCAACTCTACACAATCAGGGCGTATATGTGTAATCTTGACGCGAATCAATGAGCATCATGCAATTCGAACCGGCATCACCAAGTGTTATCACTGAGTCATCAATGCTGTGACTGATATCCTGTAGAACTAAGATATTTATACAAACCGGTCACTGAATAGCAACCAAAGTCGCATAGACAAGAATCTATTACATGAAGATAGCAAACACATCTTGCTGATGAGTAACAAATAGCAGAAAACCTCCCGATCACTTTTGAACACCTAAAGTTATAGCATGACATATATTTTATCGTTTTTCTTAAAGAGTGAAAACTTACTAAGTAAAACAGTTGAACTCGGTTTCCAGTCAGATGTCGGCTGTAAACCTGGAACAGGAAGTGGAAGAATAACAAGGAGGAAATTTCTAAAGAGAGGAATTCATAACACACTTGATACAATACTTGGATCATAGTTTAATTATCCGAGTGTTCTGCAAGCAACCAAATCATGCACAACAAAGTAGGAGTAACAAGATTTACTATGAATCAACTGAATATTTTGAATGCATATAACAAAAATCAACTAATTCTGAATGTTTTACGTGATTTCTCGAAAATAACCTACCATAGCCTGTTGACGACTATGACAGTCGTTGAGGAGGAGCAAGAAAGTGGCAATGGAAACATTATGCTAGTATATACGTTCAGTATGATTCATCGACTAATATCTCCTTCTATATCCGCACACCGTCACCTGCCAGCTTATTTTCCATTGTTGTGGAGTGACAGCTTGCTCTTCAATCACCAGGTGGCATGTTCAAATCGCAATCTAACCTATTCCAGTCTGGACAATGGAGTAGTATCATCAATTGTTACACAAACATTTGAGTGTCTAAACCTATGCTTGGAGATTGTGTTACATTTGTCTGTCATATTGCTCATTGGAATGTGTTTAATATATGCCTTTTTAACTTTATGGACATAATAAAAAATCTGTGACAAAATATCTAATTAGGGGAAAAACTTCATTATTTGATTATTTTCGCGGTTCAGTACAAGGGATTTTTTCTGGCTGTACAGTTTGTTTATGCTGTTAATATAATGGAAGTAACTGATTTAAAAGTAATTTCGTGACAAGGTTTAAAACATTATTTTAAAAGCGTGACTCAATGAACTGATGTCCTGTTCTGACTTTTTCAACCTAGTTAAGTCAACATAGCGTAACGCATGTCCTAACCATCTCAGCTGATAAAGGCTTTATTAATGGACTTACTGTTACTAGTCAGTACTCTAAGCCTATCCTCAGAACTCAACTCTATGTGGTCACATAATATACGAGGATTGTTTTGAAAATAAGTGCAATCAAATACTTGAAATCTACACACATCTACTTTCATAGACGCTATTTCGTAGCAGCAGGATATTAGTAGAGAGCGGACTGAGGTGTACAATACTTGACGTATGGTCGGTCGGTAAACAAACATCTTGTTCACAATGCAAGTGATGGAAGTCGGTAAAAGTCAGATTATATAGCACCATCTCAACATCTAGCATCATTGACTTTTAATGATTCCGTTTGCAGTAAAAATGATCATTAAAAATGGACAAATTTTCATAAACGAGAATGACTAAACTTTAACAATACAATTAATCAGCATAAAAAACCTTTAAAAAAAGAACATACAATTAAGGAGTAAACAATGTAATAACTAACCAATATTTTTAACGTTACCATTATCAGTAGTTCCATGTAATTTAGCAAGCCAATAATTTACTGTAGTTAAACTTAAAGCAAGATTTAATAATTGGCTATTAGGTATAGTATTCATATTGTCCAAAATATTCTTAATTGGTTCAGTCATATTCTCTGTAGTCAGTAGTGAATCTAATGTAGGTGCAACATATAGAGGACACTGAAAGTGAAGAACACAAAATAGACATGAGAAGACATAACATTTCGAAAATATATCCAGATGAAAAAAGTAGACTAATGAGTAGAAAGTTGAACTTTGCTTAGTTTGTCTATGAGGGGTTTGTATTTTCCTACTGTTAATTTTAGTGACTGTAATTATTCGGTTTCTTATAGTATATGTGCACCATGAGTGGACTGCCTTGAAATTGTAATGGAATTACATCAGTTAGTCAGCTACGGCGTAGAACCAGGTACATATATGCATCGGTCCAAGTTGCCATACCTCATTAGCACAAGATAATCACCAAATCCATAACTAGTTTCACATACTCAACTCACCTACTTTTTCTGCTCATTTTAAGTTGATCAACATATCACACAGTTAAATATTAAAAAACACACACACAACGTGTACCACTTACCTTAACAAGTTCAGCTTCTTCAATAAACTTATGAATTGCTTCATCTGATTGTCCATGACTGACGACTGCTATGGAACCAGTCTTTTTAAAGGTTTACATCAGAAAAAGTTAAGCAGAATTGGAAATAAATAAAATTAGCATTCGCTCAAAACTTAACTTATATTTCATAGGCAATAGACATTTTAAAATACAAATCTAGGATTCGATTGTTAGAACCAACCAAAAATTATTTGAAATCCTAAAAATTTGGGAAATGAAGTTGAAAATTCGTCAACCAAACAGCATTCAATGGAAAGTCCCCAGAGAATTTCAGAAAAATCGTGGATTACGCATTATAACCTGACTGAATAATTACTAGAAACTTTGGCATATCATCCGAGGCTCCCTGAGTATCAATATTACACGTAAACTTGCAAATAATCTCGTTCTTTTGTACCTAAACAAACTTTGAAAGTAAATCTCCTCTTCATAGTTCCTGTATTCTGTAAACATTCCGAGACTCGAATGTAGATCTCTGGGGGACTAAGAAAAGGTTAGAAAACCAGCATCACGCGTTTAAGCATCAGGCTTATCAATCGGATTACAGAACCGCCCTTTTCGATAGCGCAATTTTACATAGCAAATAAGTGGTAAAACTTAATTACCGATGTTACATCCAAACGAAGAATAAATGGTAACTGCTAGGAATTATTTATGGACTGTAATTACACATACTCTTATTGGATGATTATTAAGTAATGGGATTTTATATACATATATTCCTTTTATTATAAGCTTTTATTTGACCTATTGGCTAGTTATGCAATTTACTATGCTTAACTTATTCCAAATCCATCACTTAGTCGCCTGTACTCACAGCCACTTTCAGCTTGATCTTGGATGACAATTATTTTTTCATTTTATGGTGTGACGCGATCTGTTTGTATATAAACCACGTATGTCTGAAATATGCGACTCGTACAGCGGAAGCTGATATTTGTGTTCTGGAATGAATGGGTTGGGCTTGGTGAGAAGCTACTACATAGAGAACCAATAAGGACTCAGAGTTGACTCACAGCTGCGAGTTCTGTTTTGACACGTCATTGATTTAGCACAGGGACGAGGTCATAGAAGTTAATATTCTGATCGGCAAGCTTTGTCACGTGATATTTAACGGGTCGTAGGACATGACAACCAAGTATGGGTTTATTTACATAACTTAAAGCTACACCTGAGGTGTGAAATCTGGTGAATGTTTAGCCAGCTGCTTGAACCAAATTAGGTAATAGGGGTTCAAAACATAAAATCAAGTCCTGCAACCATTGGGCTGAAAAACCTCTGGAAGGTTTATCACCTAAAAAAACATTTCCGAGGACAACTTGCTCTGAACATTTGTATTTTGAGCCGAGAAGTAAAATCTAGGACGTATTTCATCCAACCCGGAACTAACTGGTCTGCTGTTTGAAATAAAATGGATTTATGTTACTCTGATCAAGTCATTGTAATTGGCTACTTTTAGAACATCTTTGCACCGGTCGTTGGCAATCCAGTCGACCTAATCAATAAGTTATAAACGAAATTGGAAGATACATTAATTATATTATACCTATGATAATCAAAAGTTAGTTGGGAACAAAGAATGAGTGAACCATTACAACTGATTTGAAATCGTGACCATTGTCTTTTAAAACCAAGAGGATGTTAGTGTGCCGGACTAATTAGTTTCAAAAAAATTATGACTCGTATTCTTTATTTCTCAAATATTATCTTCACTTAACTAACATATAAATTTATATTACACTGAAACACTTTTCTCATAACCTTAGAGCGAAACTCGGGTTTTCTGATCAATTTTAAACGCTAAAGTTTAATATAATAGGAGGGTTTTATTTGCTTAGATCTTTTAGATTATTACAGGAGTATTTCATAGAGAGCATAAAAAATAAGAGTGTAACTTTCGATGGCCTAGTTAAGCCGTAATTTAAATATCTCATTTGCCAGTACAAAGGTTCGTATACTTCGGACTAGACTTTAAATATAAGGGCTAATGATATTACCCAGTTTCTCAAACCGAATTAGGTAGAGCGAGGTTCGAAAGAGTAAATTATTGGTTCAATGTCGAACGTCTTGGCCCTTAAGCCAACACTCAATATTTAGGCTGTAATAAATCTGCACTATTTATTAATAAAGCAATTCTACTACTAACTGCCACAATCACAGACTATTGGTATTCAGTGTAAAATAGGAATTGAAGAGTATGAAGTCTGTCCTGATAATGTCGATAATATTAAGGGTGATGATAGAAGAGTATTTTTTAGCATCCTTGCTATTCGTAGAAGTTTAACTTAAAGTTTATTTCTCAAATAAGCAACCTGGTTGTTTGAAATCTAAGTTCAAACTTTTATGCTAAAAAAGAAATAACATTTTCTTAACAAGACTACACAATACATCAAAAACATAATGGTGAAGACTACCTTAAAAATCCCAGCTTTAGCCCAAGCTATTTCAGCAATGGTATGGCCTAAAACATTTGTATGCTCCAGTGCCAAACTTGTAACAACAGTTACGCAAGGATCTCTACAAATTTAGCATGATTTAAAATAAGACGTTTTATCTTCTTTCTCAAAAAGAGTGAATATTAAGGATTGAATACGTGAACAAAAACAGTCACATATCAAGTATGTTTAAAAATATCCTTAAAATTAAAATGTTTGCTTCCTGCTTTCCATATAGACGTTTTGTGGAGATAAGTTTAATTTATAAGATTATTCGTTGAGGACTGACTTCAGTTGGACCATTAATAAAAACCAGGGGGCATTGGACAGGTGTTTTGTTCAAGGACAGGATTCATCAGTAGTGCACACTTAGCATCTTTTGGTCTAATCAAAAGATTTTAAATCTCAGAAGAATAAATTTGGCACCCAACTCTATACGTTCCTGATTTTAATTAGTAAGAGGTATGTCGCGACGACCATCAAACGACCTTGATGACGAGTGTTTGCCTTCAGACATACCAGAACTCCATTGATCATGACTTCCCATCACAATTCCAACAATTCATCACTCCTACGTTGCAGCTAATATTTCAGTCAACTTGATCGTTAAGACTGGAACTCTATATTTAAAGAGTTCTAAGTCCAATCGATCTGTCAACGATCAGCATGCAAACGTTTTGTTAGTCTACGGATGAGTTATCGTCGCTCTTCGTCGTTTTCTTATCAACTTCTTATTGTACCATTTAATTGCATAATACATAAGAAATTATCAATATGAATACAGGCAAGATGTCCATGTCATCTTTCTAGAGGCATGAAGGGTAGATTGCATTGGCTCACCATACTATCTATTTTAGATCAAGTTAATGAACCCACTGGGATACTGTACACATATTTCGGAGACAGCACACATCAACAGCACAATATTCTACGGTCATAGTGGTGAGGCATGATGTTCGGCTTGACATAGGGTTTGGACATGCAATAATCCAACGTGTAATTTAGAGAGTCGTTCCAAGGAACCTAGAGTAGCTTTCAGTCAGTAGGATTATTTAGCATTAGAGGCACATGAAGATAAAAGAAATACTAAGTCTCAGAGGGATCCCAGTATCAACAAGGTAATCTCATGTGTCGTTACAGGTAGGTATGAGAGCGATTGTCACTTTTCCGTTCCCCACATCGCAGAAGGATATTTCTTCTCAAAGTGCCTGAGGAGGAAACTGGATTATTTACGAATTGGGAGCGTGACTGCATAACTTAAGGGATAACTGACTCGAACCAGTCACACACGACCATTTAGTAAACAGTTGCAAATATGCTAACATACTTTTCAGATTTCACCACCGGTGGTGGAAATCTGTTGTTCCCAAGGCCTCATTACTATCATACCATTATACAGTCAGCAGTACAACTTCGCCATTAGACGTCAAGTTGCTACTCCTAGTTTTAACATCCTCCAACTGACCTGGGTAAGATGGTAAGACCTAAAGGAACAAGTGGTCTAGCCAATATGACCAGAATAAATCGTCACAATATGAAAGTGCGATTACAATTTCAAAGTAGTACGTTACATAAAGCGGAAGCCTTTAATTTTATGGTATATATACACCATAGAGAATAGTTTATAGAATATCTGATAAGACATTTGATTGTTGATCAATCTTCAATAATCTGAACTCCTATAGGGATATTCTACAAAGCAAATGGTACTGCAAGGAATTAAATGAAACTTTTAGGAATGCTGCACTCAGTGTGTAAGTAACCTGTCTATTTTACCGGCAAATATTATGGGGTCGATTGACAAATTGAATTTAAAAATCAACTCAGAGCGAAATGTAACGGAATTTTTAAAAATACAAGTGATTAGATAAACAAAAAGTTAATCCACTTGAAAATATTTGTATGATCATAGCGTCCGCCGATACCAACTTCGAAAATCCCGACATCTACCTAGAAGTAAACATTAAGAGTAAAAACTTTAGAAATAAACAAATAACAATAACTGATTAAAGATCACCTAAAAAGTTAGAGAACAGTTCTCTAATGATTGGTATGTTGAATTAATTGTGAGCTATATTATGACATTAGTGAGGCAAATAAGATAAGACATGAATAGGTGATGATAATTTCAAAGTAGAATTACAGAAACAACAATATTTATACAATCCTGATGAATGAGATAAAATTAAATTTCTGAAGTTTCGTGACTTACTGTGAAGCACTTTTTTGGAGAATAGAAATAAATCAGAAGTTGAATTTATATGATCAGACCTACTTTAATTTTAGTTGTATTAAAATTATTCTATCCTAGGTCCTTTACACTACTTACTTACCCCTCATGGAGGAGCATAGGCCGTTCACTAGCATTCTATATCCAACGCTGTTCTGGGCAATACTTCTCAGTCGTTCCTAATGGTTGTTCATCCTTTTTAGGTCTGTTCCAATTCTTGGTGCAGTGTGTTCTTTGGTCTTCCTGTTTTCCGTTTCCATTCAAGATTCCAAGTTAGAGCTCGCTTCATGATGCAGTTTGGTGTTTTTCGTAATATATGTCCTATCCACTTCCAACGTCATTTCCTAATTTCCTCCTCAGCTAAAACCTGATTTGTCCTCTCCCACTGCAGACTGCTACTGATGGTATCCGGCAAACGGACATTTAGTATTTTGCGTAGACAACTGTTTATAATTACTTGTACTATTTTGATGATGGTTGTAGTAGTTCTCCAAGTTTCAGCTCAATACAGTAGGACTGATTTGACGTTCGTATTGAAGATTCTCACTTTGATATTGGTTGACGGTTGTGTTGAGTTACATATGTCCTTCAACTGTAGGAATCTTGTTGTTGCTCTGCCAATCCTCGCCTTTACATCTGCATCCGATCCTCCTCGTTCAACGATGATGCCACCCAGATAAGTAAAAATTTTCACTTCTTCCACAGTTCTTCCATCAAGTGTGATTGAGTTGTTCTCTCTGTTGTGTTTGAGGATCTTGTTTTTTCCCTTGTGTGTGTTGAGGCCTACTGATGCAGAGGTCACTGCCACACTAGCTATCTTCACCTGCATTTGTTGGTTTGTATGGGATAGAAGAGCCAAGTCATCTGCGAAGCCCAAATCGTCTAATTGCATCCAACCTGTCCATTTTATTCAGTGCTCCCCCTCAGATGTCGAGGTTTTCATAATCCAGTCAACTACCAGAAGAAAGAGAAAGGGGGAGAGAAAGCAGCCTTGATTGATTCCGGTCCTCACTTGGAATGCGTCTGTCAGTTGTCCTCGATGCACGACCTCGCACTGTAGTATGTCGTATGAATTCTGAATGACGTTGATGATTTTCACAGGTACTCCATAGTGTCGAAGAAGTTTCCATAATGTTCTCCTATCCATATTGTCAAATGCTTTCTCATAATCAACGAAGTTCTTGTACAGTGACGAGTTCCATTCGGTTGGTTGTACAAGAATGATAAACAGTGTCGCGATTTGGTCTGTGCACGACCGACCCTTACGGAATCAGGCCTGTTGATCTCGAAGTTGGGCGTCCACTGAATCTTTCATCCGGTCCAACAACACTGTTGGAAACTTTTCCTGTAATTCCCATATTTATTCAGATCACCTATCTTTGATATCTTGATGAGATATCCCTCTTCCCAGTTTGTCGGCAGTTGTTCTTCCTCCCAAATCTTCTCTAATAGAACATGAAGTATGTTTGCGGTTGCTACTGTTTCTGACCTCAGTGTCTCAGGTGGTATGTTGTCAGGTCCTGCTGCTTTCCTACTCTTGATTTGTCTGATGACCATCTTGCTTTCTTCGATCGTTGGTGAAGTGACATCTGTAGGAAGGTCCGCAGGTGCTGCTTCGATTTTCGATGGACTCAATGGAGCTGGCCTATTCAAGAGTTCTTCAAAGTGTTCTACCAATCTGTTCCTCTGTTTCTGAATCTCAGTGATTGGCTGTTTTCTTGTTTTTGCTTTCTTGAATCCTGTCTGGGGTTTCGACAGAGATACATTCATTATGATGATGCTTCTTGAGGCCCAGCACCTGCTTACATGTTGAGGTTAGTGCTTCTTTTATTTCTTTCCAGCTGTCCCCCATAGTAGTTTCATCTTTAAGTAGATCTTGTAGGTCTTGGAACCTGTTGTGAAGAGCAATCTTGATTTCGTTGAGTTTGTCAGGATCTAGGAGGGCTGTTTTGAACCTTTGTAATATTGTTCCTTCAGTTGTCCATTGCTTCTTTAGCTTCAATTTCATCTTGCATCCAACAGGTGGTGGTCTGGAGCTATGTTAGCTCCTCTCCTGGTTTTCACGTGTTCCATTGACCTTCTGAATTTTTTAGTGATGTAAATATGATCGATCTGATTCCCTGTAGTGTGATACGATGAGACCCATGTAGCTTTGTGTATGCGTTTGTGTGGGAATATTGTGCCGCCTACACCCAATTTGTTGAATGCACATAAATTTGCAAATCTGTCACCATACTCGTTCCCTTCTCCCTTTCAGTCCATGTCGTCCCATGATATCTTCATACCCAGTGTTGTCCATCCCTACTTTGGAGCTTAGGTCTTTCATCGGGATAGTCAAGTCCTTTCCTGAGCACTTAAACATGATCAATTGCAGCCTCTCCTAAAATTGACCTTTATCATCGCCATTGCTATCATTGGAAAACATTCATTGTGATCCCCTCCTTCTTTGTCTTGAAGGATGCTTTGATGATCCTGGGTCTATGAGATTTTCATCCTATGAGTGCTTTGTGTGCTTCTTTGGACAGCATCAGAGCAACTCCCTGAATATGTGGAGCAATTTCTTCTTCGTGACCAGAGCACAGCAGCATCTCTGTCGAATCTGATCTCATCTGTTCAGCTTGGGTCCAATGGGTTTCACTGATTCCGAGAACCGCCAAGTTGTATCTCCTCACTTCCCCAGCAATTTGATTGGTTTATCCGGTCTCGAACACTGTTCGGACATTCCATGCACTCATAAAAAGTGTTACTTTGATTGTTAGAAGGAGCATCGGCCTCGTGATTTCCTAAGAATCTCGCCACTTGTCATGAGGTGTCATGTTTCTGAATTAAGATGCTCCGACACGAAGGGGAGAGTTTAAATGGTTTAATTTGTTTATTCTGGTTAGCGTTTTCTACGGAATAGGGTTACTGATCTCATGCCCGACCCTCCTCGTTTACCGGGGCTTGGGACCGGTAGTAACCCCAGAAAAGCTACAGGCGGAGTTCTTTGCACTACTTAAACTTATTTTAGTGTTACGTTATTTCGGTCAAGGTTATTTCTTACTGTATGAGATATACCTGGGTAGTTGAATGTGTGTGTGTAAAAAATGCGGCATTTCTAATGTGAAAGAGTTAGGAATTTTTTTAGTTGTATGAGGTGTTAACGGGACTAACAGTGTGGCAATTCAGATAAATGGTTTGTGTTGTCAGGTCTTCCTTTCTGTTAAGAGCGGTTTCAGCCACTTGCCTCTCTATATAATTGGAAAATCCAATTTGAACGATTTCGATATTATTAATATCAATTTGATGGTCATTAAATCTATTATGTACTGGTATTGCTGGTTTCATTTGTAGATTTTCTAGTTCTACGAGACTATTTGGAGGTGTTTTTGTGCAGTTTAGATGTTCGTTGGGACAAGTTACGATTTCATAATAAGACTCCAATACAGAATTTCCCACAATTTATATATCCTAATCTGCAGACATAATTTCGTGTCGAAATGATAAGGATTTTATCATTTGTTTAAACTAAGTATTTTGAGGAGTGTTCGTTATTTTATTGAATGCTTTGGTTCTGTGCGATCTAGTGATTCGTTGTAGTTCTTCTGTTGTGTTTTAGATCAAATATTTTCAGAAAAGTTTGCTAGTGTCAGTCAGAAAAAAATATTTTTTTTAATTGCTATTTTGAAATTCATAGAATACACATGTAAAATTGAAATTGGCAACTTAGAATTCGTAAGTTTAAACAGATCAATCTGGAGAAAATCTCAAAAATCTTTTATAAATACCCACGAAGCTTACACTGTATAATTATTGACTGAAGTTGAAACAAACTTTTTAAGTTTTTATTGCTTTCTCAATTAATGAACACTAGGTTAAAGAGTTATTCGATGGTATTTTGTAGTATAGTCCATCCAGTTTCCGCATTAAGTAGAAGAGTTAAGATATAACACATTATCCCTAAGGTGAACAACTCACTTCAGCCAGAGATGTTATGCTGTATATACATTGTAAAACGTCCCCAAATGCCCTGGCACGGCCGAGAGTGGGGAGAGTTCGCTCACACTCTCGAAATGCTCTCACATGGCCAGCGAATATATAGCCTCTGACAGGGAAGTCCTACTCACTGCCTTCTCGTGGCGGGGGTTTTGTCTACGAAAGTGAGAGGACGAAAAGCGAATGTCCGGCGCTTTAACCGGGTTGGTGGATCAGGCGAGTTCATCTAGGGGAGTTGGAAAACCCTGATTCCAAACCAATGGTGCACATGGGCTCCAATAACCTGAGGGGACAAATGGCGTACGAATCAACAGTTGATCACCGGCTACCATGGGACTGCATCTCCTCACGATGCTCCACTGCCTTGTGGACTAGACCTTCATGTCAAAGGCTCGGGGTGTGGCCCCCTAAGAAAACCACCTGCTTCAGTCTGGGCACCTGGGCAGTATCACAGCCCTCACACAAATCGAATGAGATTTGTGCGGCGCATATGTATCTGGTGCTTCCTTGTACCAATATTTATATGTTTAAATAAAATAAATATAAAATAAAAATTGTAAAACATTCAGCTCTCATTCGTCATGCTGTCAACCTTAACTCGAAAAACTTAATTAGTATTTTATTCGCATGAAGTTTCTGTGGTTATGTATAAGTCGTTCGGTCCTTCTAGTCGCGTAGATTAGTTCTTATATTGGAGGTACCGTCCAGTTCGTCATCACTTTCAACCCCAATCAACATTATGTAGATCGAAACACTAAGACAAAAATATCTTCACATATTACTGGTAAACGCCAATAAACATAAGTAAACTCACTTTCTCATCAATAAACGCTTTACAAGCCATTACAAAAATGTAATGAAGAAACGATGGCATAGGTATATTATTAGAGGTTTTCTACATAAACATAAGAAAACGAGAATAATATAACTGCATAACTTAACTGACTTGTCAGGTATAAATTTTTGCATTCAGACTGTTTGATCGAGAACTAATGATACTGGCCGATTTTCTAAACCACGATGAACGGAGTGAAACTCTCATCTATCAATAGATAGTTGATAGACAAGTGTTTTCACTATCATGTGAAACGGATTATCTATGTACTTTTGTGAGACCTATCAAGTGCCAAACTTACAACTCAAACAATGAGATTTAAAGTCTAATATAAAGACATATACTCAGTAATCAAGTTCGACTGAATTCATAGTTTTCAGGAAGAGAAATCAACGAAATTAAACTTTATCTATTCAGATATTTAGATATTACACTGATTACGTCAAAAACATTGGATTACATAAGCCTAAAACAATAGTGGAGTACGGTGAAGATGTAAAACTGCTCTCGAAAAGCTTGTATTAATATCTAAAATTATGTGCTTTCATTTGGTGAAGCCAAATGAAATATTAATAACATTCAATTGATTCTTTTATCTGGTTAGTTTAATTGACAAGATTTTGTTGTATCATTAGAACTGAGAATTAAATATTGTGTCAGTCAGTCATACTCAAACAAGCTCGCATTGTTACTCCAGGCAGTTATAAGATTCTGTATTTTGTCAGCTCCTTCACTAGACAGGAAGGACCATATCACCCGCGTACTCTGGGTCGGCAAGTGGATCTCCTGATAAGAAAATTAACCCCTAAAAAGTTAGACGACAGCAGTGTAGTTTCCGAAAAACACTTGTACCGAAATAAAAACCCTGAGAAACGTCATTTGAGGTTATAAACTTTGATGACAGTTCGTCGTAAGCTCTGGCTCGATCAATAGTATTCGAGAACCTTGCCAATGATTTATATACCTCTTTGCCACCCTTTTTAATGACAAATATTGTCACAACAGCTTTCAGTTAGCTTAATCAAAACTTCCGTAAAGTCGGGGAATGCAACTACAGTCGAACGGCAGAAAGTACATTCGTGCCCCAGAACCTGATAAAGGGACAACTGACTCTAACTAGTCACACACGACCATTTAGTAAACAGTTGCAAATATGCTAACATACTTTTCAGATTTCACCACCGGTGGTGGAAATCTGTTGTTCCCAAGGCCTCATTACTATCATACCATTATACAGTCAGCAGTACAACCTCGCCATTAGACGTCAAGTTGCTACTCCTAGTTTTAACGTCCTCCAACTGACCTGGGTAAGATGGTAAGACCCAAAGGAACAAGTGGTCTAGCCACTATGGCCAGATTACGTTAACATGATATGCATAATCGACCACGTCAAGAAAAGGAATAAACAGTGAATTTTTGTGAATAAATTAAGATATTTATAACAATCTACTTAATGAGTTGAAAATCTCATTTTTCTACTCATTGGGATATTACAAATACATGAATTTATTTATAACAATCTACCCAATGCCCAATTTATTCAAAATTATCAAATCAAAACTTGGTAATGATACCTACAAAGAGTGAATTTATCGGTATTATCGAGACCGATTATGACTTTTATAACTCAACATTCTCATTCAATGGCAACGATAGTAGCGCGGACTGCAGTTGGATAGTTTGTATTTACCAATACTAGTCAGTCTGATTTTTAATGGACTGAGACTGTCTTGGTTTGCTGCACCACCTTAGTACTGTATTATATGACAGATTTGGGATTATTGTTAGCTAGTTCATGAAGTTAGCTTAGACTGGACATACAAAGAACACTAGCAACTAATTATACTAAACATATAGTGTTAAAAGATATGGTACTATTACCCATAGTAAACCATATCAAATGATTTTGAAATTCTATCACGTTGTATCCCTTGGACATAATATTTTACTCAACTGGTCCTAAGTCAGGATGAGAATTGGATGTTAACAACAATACACTCGAAAATCGAAAACGCAAAAGTTAGTATAGTAAGAACGTTAAAGTTTATCCAAAATTTATATAAGAATCTTTTAGTGTTTTTCCATTTCATTTACTAGCAATGATTGGCTGAAAATTTGCCCAATCAGGATCCTCTGATTTCACTTTGACTTTAGAATGAGACGATAACGCTCTACCCTACTAACACATTAGGTTACTGATTTTGATATATGACCGATTCGAAGACTCTGATGTACCTTGAATTCATATTTGCAACTTATTTTCCATATTAGTTGCAATCAGTTATTTATCACAGATTAGTTAGTAGTAGTAATAGCTAATCGTAGATTTGAAAACAACGTGAGACTCACTGTAAACTCAAGAAGTGTCCCACGCACATCCCAAAATAAACTAGCAAAGTGATCACGAGATATGGGTCGTCCATTTATCCGTATTCTTTCCTCAACATTTATGAGGTGAGGAGAGCTGTTTAAAGAAAACAAACATATACAAATATACGATTAATTAACATAACACCCGTTTTTTGATAACTTGATGGCTCCGTATGTGGTATCAGTTGACAAAAGGTGAATGATTTGATATGACTTAATATTTTTGATCGAGCCCCCAAATGCCCTGGTACGGCCGACAGTGGGGAGAGTCATCTCTCCCTCTCGAAATGCTCTCATATGGCCAGCGAATATATAGCCTCTGACAGGGAAGTCCTACTCACTGCCTTCTCGTGGCGGGGGTTTTGTCTACGAAAGTGAGAGGACGAAAAGCGAATGTCCGGCGCTTTAACCGGGTTGGTGGATCAGGCGAGTTCATCTAGGGGAGTTGGAAAACCCTGATTCCAAACCAGTGGTGCACATGGGCTCCAGCATCCTGATGGAACGAATGGCGAATGAACCTGCTGTTGGTCACCGGCTACCATGGGACTGCATCTCCTTACGATGCTCCACTGCCTTGTGGACTAGACCTTCAGGTCAAAGGCTCGGGGTGTGGCCCCCTAAGAAAACCACCTGCTTCAGTCTGGGCACCTGGGCAGTATCACAGCCCTCACACAAATCGAATGAGATTTGTGAGGCGCATATGTATCTGGTGCTTCCTTGTACCAATATTTATGTGTTTAAATAAATAAATAAATAAATATTTATTTGGAGTTTTGTTAAGACTACTTTCCATATAAACCAGCTAAAATGAACTTTGTGAGTCAGATTTTACGGGTGGCTCCACCGAGATTCAGTGTCTTTGAGGAGCTTTCGGCTATATCGTTATTACTTCTACTAGATTCTTCACCAGAGTAAGTCGAAACGGCAGTTTTCTTGTTTCGTTAACCATTTAACTTATTATTATTATTATTATTATTAATGGCTTTATTCAATATTATAATCTGGTACAATATAGAATTCTCAGCACGAGTTATTTCAACAAGTTTTTTACCCAAAAAGGAAACCCGAAAAAACAAACAAACAAAAAAAAACAGAAATAAAATTTAAAAAAAAAGGTCTAGGAAAAACCGACTTTATACAAATTATCGAATTTGAGACATGCTTAAGAAGACAGGTTATTTACTAGGTCAACTCTAACAGCCTGTTCGTCACAAAGTAAATTTGCTAAGTAAGGTATTACAGAACTTTTATAGATTTGCTTGCGTGCATGGATTTTAATGTATTTACGTCTCGTTCTACCAGAAGATATACAAGGAGAAAGATATGAATGAAGCGGATGGTAAGAATCTGATAAGATAACACCTGCTAAGACTTTGCAAGCCTTAAGATGTCTATCCACAAGCATATTAACAATGACTTCAAAAGATTCACCACATACCTTGCAAACCGCCTTCAGCATTCTACGCAAAATAGCAAAGTCTTTTCTCAAAAGCCCAGGAAAGAATAATGGAGAACAATATAAAATAATAGGTAATATGCAGGAATTTACAAATTGTAAGAGTAAATGGCGAGTAATCCCAAAAGCATGCAGCCTCTTTATGTAGTATGTCAAGCGGTAAACTTTTTTCGATAATAGTAAAACATGAGAAGACCAAGAAAGATCAGAGGAAAAAGTAACACCAAGATATTTGACCCTCGACACTGTGTTTATTAAGGAGTCTCCAATGGCACAAGCATTATCGGATCCCAACATAGAGTATAGGTTCTGTCCATGTCTCAAGCTAAAATTAACAGCTTCACATTTAGATGGATTGAGTAAGAGACCATTACCAACAGACCACCTTTCAATACGAGATAAAAACTCATTCATTTCTATAGGATGTAAGGAGGTAGAAATTGGCATACATACAGTGAGGTCGTCCGCATATTTTACAAAAGTGTTTTCTGTGGAAGATGGCAGATCATGCAAAAAGAAAGAGAAGAGCAGAGGTGAAAGAACAGCTCCTTGTGGCACACCTACAGTAGACAGTAGAGATGTTGAACACTTTCTTTCAAATACAGTGTACTGTTCTCTTCCAGAAAGGTAGGAGCGTAGCCAATTGGTTATCCAGCTGTCAGTGTCGATGCGAATCAGCTTGTTAAGTAAGAGATGTCTTGGAATAGAATCAAAAGCAGAAGTAAAGTCCAGAAAAGCGCATCTAACATACTTCTTACCCTTTTCCAACCCGAACACTATATTGTGATGCAGAACAGCAACGGCATCTAATGTGCTTCTTTTGCATTTGTAAGCAAACTGAAATGGATCACAGTACTCTTTTATTGAAGGTTGAAGTGGTTGTATCAGTAATTTTTCCATTATTTTGAGGAAAGGTGAGGTTATTGCAATGGGTCTAAGTTTCGCATTTTTATCACCAGAAGCTTTCTTAGGTATAGGGATTATCTTTATCTTTCTCCACATTTTCGGTAAGACATTAGTTGAGAAGGATCTGTTAAAGATATTTGTTAATGGATAACATAAAACATCAGCACATTTTTTAAAAAGGAGGTTTGGGATACCATCAGGTCCTAAACATTGAGATGAATTCAGAGACTGGAGACATTTCCGGACATCATTTTCAGTAAAACTGGGGACACAACTATTCTTCAAACCCTTGGATATAGGGAGCATGATGTCAGATGACTGATGAATAAAGGACTTATTTAAGTCACAAACATTCAGCTGGTTTTCGCTTCTAGTCTGCCTGTCCCCTGTAATTTCTTTAAAGAGTTTCCACATACTTGGAGAGCTTCTACAAGATAGGAGTTTTTGAGTGAACACACAGTTGAGACGTCTAATCTCTTGGTTTATTTGATCATTTAACTTACGAACTTCAATAGTGTTTTTCTCCTTGTACATCCTTTCTTTTACCCTCCGTAGTCGTTTTAGTTGTGGAGATGTAAGTCGATCAAAACTTAAAAAGAAGGTTTCGGTAGGACAGCAAATATCAAAACAGAATTTAAGATAAGAGGTAATAACATCCGTTGTGTTTTCTATTGAGTCATCTGTAAGTACTTCCCAGTTGGTCGTACGAAACATGTTTTTCAGATTTTGTAAATTTTCTTCTGAGTAACTCCTATATATTACTTTTTTGGTATGGAGTATGTGTGTGCTCTTTCCATGTTTACCATATACTTTAGGCAAGACACGAATTATACAGTGATCCGAACTAGACAATGGAGCACGTTTGCGAGTCACATAGGCACCCACATCATTAATTAAAACCAAGTCTAGATGAGCATTCAAACGAGTAGGAAAATCTACTACATTTAGATGACCTAGTGATATAAGGAAGCTACAGTCACATGAATTGAAATCACCACATACAATTGAAAGTGAATCACTGAAGGCAGTAACGGCGAATTCAGTAAATTTATCAGTGAAGACAGATAGCGCAGATGATGTGCAATCTGGAGTCATGTAGATATTGGTAACATAAATATATTTGTATTTATTCAGGTGTTTTGGACGGCACCTTAAAGTTAGACAGTCAATAAAGTCGTTTGAAAACTTGAAACAGGCAAAAGTAGATCGACACCAGTTAACGTTTACAAAAGTAGCTACTCCGCCACCACAAGTCTTTTTATTGTTTGATCGATCCTGACGATAGATATTAAAATCACGTAATGACACTAAGCAATCATCCTGTAAGTCAGTTAACCAAGATTCTTGAATTGTGATGACACCACAATTACGATACATGTTTTGACTTAGCAGAAATTGGAGATAGTCCACCTTGTTAATTAGTGATCGACAGTTAGAGTTAAGTAGCTCGGGAATCGACATTTGATTGATGTTTATTCTCTTTAAAGCATATTGCCAACCACCACGATGTCTCTTATTGTGCTTGTTTGTAATTTTTGCAGCGAAAGGACGTAAGCTTTTTATAAACGCGCAGGAAATGCCCCAATATAACAAAGAGAAGTTTATCGGGTATTTGTTTTTAAGTTTATTCAGGCTCGAACACCGACAATTGGAGTAACTTGCGATCAACGTCCAAACAAATACTCCATGAAAGCCTGTATTCACTCACTGAGATGACAAATAATGGCGATGACTAAACAAGTAATTGTTGAAGTGAAATTTGGAACGACGATTAAAACGTTTCTCGAAAAAAACTATTAACATCCAACACTTCTGACGTCACTAAAGAATAGACTACTCAATTATTAAAGCTCCAACAGTTAAATAAGCTGGTTACTGCCTAAAATTCGCATTCTAATTATAGTAACTATAAAAAAACAAAAGTTGAATGTATATACTCACTAACCTTAAAAAACCAGTGCGAAATCCGGATTGCCGTAAAATATTTTCAATCATTGAACAAACTGAACCTTTGCCTTTAGACCCTGTGACATGTATAATATGTAAGTCACGTAGTTGCTGATCCTGTTGTACAAATAACTAAAGAAATTCTTGAACATACTTCAATTCCAACAGCAGAGCAATAAACAGCGGACAACCCATACCTTTGCTCTTTCAAAAGCCTTGGATTTGACGGTGTTAAATAATTCGACGGTTTAATAGATTTGTTAAGTTCATGTATGGCGTCCTTCAAACACTTAGAACATGAGTCAACTTACTTGGTACGATCGAATGAAACATGGAACTATTTTACGAAAAGTCATTTAAAAATATTGGTTTCTTGGGTAAATTCATTAGCAAACCTGAAAAATTACAAAGTTGAACAAACAAAATTAAAGAAACGGATGCTGAAGGACAAACCCATACTTAGAATTATTACGCTTACTCAGTAATTAAGCTGACTGAGGCACTAAACATCCTATTTTTTGGACTCAAACAAGCATATTTAGGGCGTTAAACGGGACCGAGTCCCACATTAATCACTTGAAGGGTTTTAACGTGTTTTTGCCGATTATGATCCATTATTTGTGAAATGCAACTTATGCACAGTAATACGACTGAGTAAACAAGACTAAAAGGTACATTTATTTCATGAGACTTAACAACACACATTTTAAGCAAGTGACCTAACAGTTTAGAGTTACGTTCTACGATCATTTAGTCACAGTTCTGTTAAGTATAAAGGAGTCACTAGGCTATTAAAATCTCATTACACTTATTGTTATTCAGACAGCCAGGTAATATTAGTCTTTACAAAAAAGTGGTAATTAATAGTATCTTGGTTACCTTGTTGATAACATAACCAGATCAGTGGTGCTGACCTTTAAAATATGTTAGGATGAGATTTCGGGATTTATTCTGTTAGTAAACTACCTTTTGGGTTATTTTTGTCTTCTGAATATGTCATCAAATCATTTGTATTATTATAAAAGTTATTATTACCATCCTCAGTTACATTTTTCCAACCCTGCAGAATTATGAGTTATCGTTCCTTAATGTTTCTGTTTAACTTACAATGGACACTAGTTCTTACTTAATCATATACTTTATACGCTAAATATCACATTTGCTGTTTTTTCAAAACCTGTATATTGCAAAAAATCATTAAATTCGAGGCGTTAAATGTGACATATTGTCTGAAACTGCACGGACTAAGCAAAATAGACACATAGGTAATTTACGCATGCACAAATTAAGAATGTTATTTGTGTTTAAGATAAACTACATAAATACTTTCTTCGGTAATCAAGTTAAACACAAAATATAAAACACAACTAAAAAGACAAGATATCTCACAATACATTAGATTACTCTCAATATTCATAAAGAAAAGCATTAAATCGATCGTATCAAAAATTTTATAAGATAACAATGTTTATAAATACCATGACAAACAGAATAATGTATGGATAACAGTACGTAGATATAAGAATAACGTTAGTCTCAAGAAATATAAACTGTACACTAACGAACGAATTTTGTAAGCATTTGGGTATTACAGTAAACTTGAGCAAACTATATGATCAGCGTGAACGTTTTTTCTGCCGTGTTAACGAAATGGCAGACCGATTATTTAATTTTATCTTCCCACGTTCAACCTGTTTGAATATCATTTAGGTGATGAAGGACGTTGCTACAACTTATTTTTTGTCCAGTTTCAGAGAATATGTCAATATGTATTTTGCTGAGTTCATATTTCGGAAAATAATTTAAGGTTTAATGTACATGAACCTATATATATATCGTCTACATGAATTTATATTTTCAACCTACAGCAAACCTAAATTGCCGTATAAAACTTGAGACATGAACAGGGGTTGGTCATTTATCTGTAAATTACGTCCTATTTAATCAGAGCTGACTTGATAACCCCGTGTGAGGATACATGCGGTAGATCCTACCAAAGTAACAATACAATGTCATTATAGCTTTGTATTAATAATTTGACTGTTGAAATATTCGGTCGAATAAGGCACCATGAAACACATATAAGAATATATGAAAATGCTGATGCGTGCATCTGAATTTCCAACAGAAACGTGAAGTGAGTTTAGCTCAACAAACATTTACTGAGGTACAAACCAACCTAACATAATACAGAGGAAATAATGGAGTATTGAGAATCTTTGGAAGAGTGCAAACCGAGTTTTGGCTTGTGAGTAGGAGAATAAAACTGTGATGGATATAGAGGATGAAAATAAAGCAAGGAATAAGTTAATGGTACTCGAACGCTTCATTTTATCATTTTTTCACAATTTTACTACATTTATTCTCTTCTTTTATTAGTACATTAAATTCATGCATATTAAAGAGGGACCGAACTAGTTATTCTAACCTCCAGGCGAATAAAAGCTATCTAATCTCGCAGGTTCTGGGTGCGGCACTTATGGTTTGCTGTTGTTATTACTTGACTTTAACCCAGTCATAAAAATTTGTGAAGCCAGATGGGGTATGCGGAGGAATCTGTGAAGAAAAATGTTGCACAGCTTTAAGCTTCTCAAGCAGTGGGTAAACTTCCGGAAAAATAAGAGAGACGCTAAAATGGCCTTGAGAGTGTCCGCACAATAGCAATAACATAAGCCTCAGATTAAGACAATGCGAGGTCTAAACTACGAGCAGACAACGTGAACCAAATAATGTTAACCTTACCAAGGTCTTTCAATCTCAAAATTGTTCAAGTGGTTGTAGACATATAAAAAGCTTTCGCCTAATGGAGATCACCAATGCCTGCGAGTAAATATGTGGGTAAACTTATCAAACAAAAGGAGATTCAAGAGTCAAATTTTGTGAAGGGATATCTCTTTTCCCAACTTGTCCTTTTAATGTCTATAGCCTTCAGTAATAAGAGTATTAGTTAGGTAGACCTACATTAATATTGCAGTCTGTCCTTCAATAAATATCCCATCTTTTTCTTGTAGATGTCACCTGATGAGATTGACACCACTTGTTCGAGTAGCGCATTCCAGTCATTGACCAGTAGGTGGGAAATGCGGAACACTAAATTGTGTATATTCAGTCTTCAGTCTTCAGTCTGAAGAAATGCGGGAAATGCGGAACACTAAATTGTGTATATTGGGTCGCGGTTTTGAGACGTTCTTGTTGCGACCTTGGAGGTGATAAGTTCTGGAGGAAGCTTGAATGTAGTACAATAGACGCGGTCTTGCATAGGTGGGGTATAAAATCCAAAGCATCTCGTCAAAGGATGAAAGTGCTGATCAAAATGACCGTAAGGCTCGCGAATTTTCAGAGTCAACAGATTAAATGACTTCGCGTGACCTGGTAAACTAGCCCCAATCATCTTTTCAAGTAATTTAACTACAATGCTGGTTGAAGTGACAGTTCGGTAGTTAAGTACAATCCGTCTCTTCCCATACCTAAATGTAAGTCACGGAAGAAAGGTAATTGACCGCACATACCCAAATTCGACTTTGAGTGGCTGAATAACAGGGGACATTCCGTATTCGGATTGCCTGGGGTCAATTGCGTAGGTGTAAGTGAGGATGATCCTCAGGTGTTCTCATGTTCACGTAGACTGTTGATATCTGAAAACCACCAACTTCGTTGCCAAAATCATAAAAAGTGTCCTTTGTCTTCTTTGGAGCAAACCTCAGGTTGGTTGCTAGTGCTTGACATTTTATGAGAAAATATCGTTGGATTAATGAATTTGGATGGTACATTATAGCCGACTAAGTAAAAAATATGATTAAAAATAATCACTCGCAATTCTATATGCTGATAATATGTGCAACATATGGTTCTACCCAAAGTTAAAAAGATGACTGAACATCTGTGAGTTATGAACCGTTGTCGTTCTTCTTTAGTGTAATAGTACCCTCTGCATTGCATTTGGTAAATTTTCTCCACAATTATACATTTTTTATTTTGTAATCTATTAACACAGTCCCATTTGTCATGCTTCTTGCCCGAAAAATTCATCAGATCTAAGTCTATGAATTTGCGGCTAATGCGCGTCCTTCAACAAGATGATTAGGTGATAAAATCACGTCAGCTGATATAAGATCATCCCTCTGAAAGTTCGTAGATAATCAGTTAACGAAGCGGTTTGCTTAATAGGATGAGCAGGATCTGAGGTCAGCATTGAACTAGTCATAATTCTCATATTAAGGGTCGTATGTGTCAAAGGAGAGACTGGTCATGAAGACAATGAAAGCTCAAATGTCTACAGGCATGTATGTAGTAATGCACTTCCAGGCTATGGTACTCGTTGAAAGTCTTCATTTTCTTAAAAAAAGAGGAAAACTGAAGGAATTTACTTCCGAAAACAAACCCGTGTGTATGAGCTGCTTCTATAGCTACGATTAGATCGCATCATATAAACAATAACCAAAAGTTGTCGGTAAATATTCCATTTACAAAACCAACAATTAGAAGTGAAGATGCTGTTTGTCAAATGTTGCTGTGTAGTTATTCATTGTTTCAGTGACTAATAACTGCTAACCTCGGTCACGGTCGTCCGACTTTATTCGCATGCACAAGGATGGGAAGGAGAGTCGATATTGTCTGCATGGTAGATCAGCTCATTTATATAATGGATGACACGTCCAGGGTAGGGGTTATCGTCATGGACTGTGCATAACGTGAGTCATGAATAACTAGGTAAAAATTCATTTTATCAATTCACGAACAACAATCTCATGAACACCTACGTGATCACATATGCAGTAGTGAAAACTGCCCATAGAAATTTCTTCGGTCAACTGGCAATGCTTTTTAATATTACACCAAACCATTTAGATTGATAGGCTTAGTTGTTCATATTGTTCTTACTTACCCATTATGGGAAGTCATACTGTACCTTGTAAACAATATTTGTTTTATGTGTCACCGTAACTGCAGAAATGCGGAAACGAAATCGCTTATGCTCGTCACACGTAGGTACAGGTTTTCCATGTAAAGTAGAATATGAAGCAGTATGTTTAAGTCGATGGGTACTATGTCAATAACAGCAGGTCTATCCAAGCACTTCGTTGATCGTATGATGTTTATGAAAACAAGTGAATGATAGTTATCATACACATGTTTAAATCTGGGGATAAAGTAACGTATATGTAATTGGCATCAGAAATAGTTATAATTCATTCGTACATTGTTTTCCGATATATCCTCATTTTTACAGCAATTATCGACCTTGCTTATTGGTTGAAATTTGACTACTATCAATATCTTCTCTGAACATGAAGTTGGCAAAAGCTCTTATTTTCAAATCACGATATTTACAATGGTGGTCTATTTCAAACTTTCCACTGTATCAGTGAGTGGACATTCATTCAAGTATCGAGGTGGCCAGTTACACTCATTGGTGATTCGATGGGAATCTTTATAGATAGCTGAAGAGTGTTTTCTTCTGGACTTCGAACCCAATTGCAGTGTTCACGTAAATTTTCTGTTTTGACATATAACGTTAACGAGAGCAAGTCAAAAACAGATTTGTGACGATGTAACTTGCGAGACCGTGATCAAGCTACCTCAAGTCCTTCTGTATGACAAAAGAAATCGATTTCATTATTCTGGGCTCTCGTCATACGGCAGCTTCGAGATTCCGGGAATCAACTTATTTACAGTTCTTTGAACTTCCAACATCTCATGGAGTTTGGGACGGACGAACGTAAATGAAACTGAAATGGTTTTGGCATTGGTATGATCGAAATCTGCACAAAGGGTTTCTTAATGTTATCAGACGTTTATGTATATGTAACTTAAAGACCGTTATGACATAATCTACTTTGGATCGTTTATCAGCTAATACAAGATTCTAGACAGTTCACAAAATTTTTACAGATCATTTTGAAGCTCTAAACTACAATTTCTTGCATATTTTCCTTCTGAACGTTTGTCCTGTCCTTAGTCGATGTATAGGTATTGGCAACCATATGGAAAGCTAGAACCGTGTGGTCGTTCTTACCCAGGATTGCCATGCAATCGCTAATTCTGGGAATCTAGGGCTAACTATATCGTCTTTCCAGTCCCCGACGAGTTGAGTTTGGGAGTGATATGTTAAATAGAGTAGTCAGTGGCTCTGAACATAGTGCAAATAGATGACAATAGTCGTGAATGTAGTAAATCTGAACCCATCGATTTTGTTGATCTGAGTTATAGAACAACTGAAGGGCGGCTTTCGCAGCTGCATGTACCAGTCTTTTTATCTAGTATCTCAATGGTGTAGATATGAGTGTTGTTAACAGTACCCGTAGGATATTATTCACTGAAATAGTTTGATAAAGTCTCAGCTTTGGCCAGGTCTGACTAAGCCAGTAGATCTGAGTTCCCGTGAAACAACATTGGGGCGATTTCATCACTACATTTCATTCTATGTCCGATGTACGAAGACAACCGTTTTGGGCAAGCACGTCCATCTTATGCCAATTGTTTTTCTTAAGTGGTGGGACGTCTAGCTATGGTCTTTAATCATGTAGTCCAGATTTTTCGGCGTTCACAATTAAATATTTTCAAGAGCAGGTTTCGGCAGCTTTTCGGTTTCCTTATCGATCCATGGAGGGCAATATGTATAAAATTCAAACTACGTTTCGGTGAAGAATAACTGTCGGAAATAAACAAGAGACGCGTTCTTCCCAATCGAAAGCATAACAAGGTGAGTGGGGTAAAAACGCGTTTCTTATTTATTCCCGACAGTTATTCTTCACCCAGACGTAGTTCGGATTTTATAGTTCAAAACAAATATTACCACTCAGTTATTCAACCAATAATTGTTCCCACAGTAATCAATCAAAAAATAAGTGCTATTCTATCCTGTCGGGATAGATCAAGAAAATTTCCGTTCAGAAGGTTGCTTCATAACACAAAGTTTTTCCAATTCTGGGAAAGTGCTTCAATTCACAACCAAAATGCACGATCCCAGTCAAATCAAGCGACACAATCACAGTGGGGACAATCAATATGGCAGCCGCCAGGACACAAAATCTATTAAAACAACATAGATACAGTTAAAAAAACAACATAGAAACCCAGTGAAAGCGACAGGAAAACTGAGAAAACTTTTATGAAATGAAACCTCAAATGACATCAAAAATGATTAACAATAATGTACAAATAAAGAAAACATTAAGAACAAGTTGCAAATATATGGAGGGACGGATTTTCACACACGAAACCTTCAAAATGGATCTTACAATATGATACCCTAGGTGTTGACCGTAGGATGAACGGTGATGGTAAGGACTTGAATGTGGCTTTAAACATTTTTCTGATATGGCAATCCAATCAGAAGAAGCCTACTGATGTCAATCGATGGTAATCAGAAGTGATCTCAAGGACAGATGCACTTAATTACTTGAGTGTCCTGAGTGGTCAGCATGGTTGCATTTGCGATAAGTTCCTTGACTGTGGAGGCTGCTCTTCACGTAGTGTCGTCCAGATTAATTGATTTCGCATTTCCACGACGTTGGTCGGTTAACGGTTTCATAAGGGAGGCGCACTTCGGTATGAACCGTCTATATAAACTTACAAGACCGTTAAATGTGAACAATTGCTGAAAGGTCGGGTATGAGTAATCTAGAATGACCGCAACTTTGCTTCTGAGGGGTCGGAAGCTTTGGGCAACTATAGTATGTCCTAAGAAGTCTAAGGAATTGGTTCCGATTCAGCATTTCTGAATGCTTACAGCAATGCCATGCCTTTGAAGTCGTTCGAAGACAGTGTCCAGATGCCGGAGATGTGATTTTTTGTCCGGACTTGCTATCAGACGGTCATCAACATACGCATGTACGAATATGAGACCACGGAAGACGTCACCTAATAATCTTTGTACCTCTGGGTAGCATTTCTTAGGCCGAAGGGCATTCGCAAAAATTCGTAGATTCCGAAGGGAATTATGATAGCTGGTTTTTGCAATATTGTCAGTAGCCATAGGGATTTGTTTGTAGGTTTTAACCAAGTCGATTTTCGAAAAGACAATCGTACTTTTGAAGGTAGCTGTCAAATCTTGAATGTTCTGCAGCGGCTAACAATCGTGAATCGTTTTTGCATTTGAACGCCGATAATCACCAGCTGGACGTCAATCATTGCTGTCTTATTTAGGGACTATATGCAAAGGAGATGCCCACGAGCTGTTTGACTGTCCAATGATTCCTAAGTCTATCATTTGGTCAAGTTCGTTTTTAGCTAACCCAAGCTTTTCGGGAGCCAGTCGGCATGCTTTTGAGAATACCGGTGGTTTTGTAGTGGAGATGTAATGTGTAACATTGCTGGTCACACACGGCAATTTTGGTTGCGGTTGATATATACCGGAGTATTTATCGAGTAATGGTTGATATAATGGGTCTTTAGCGTGCTTAATTGTGACTGGAGATAATCTGCAATCAGGAAGAGGAGTTACACAAACGGATGATTTAGCGTTTCCGTCTATTAACCTGCGTTTGCGTGAGTCAATCAGTAGATTGTGGTATTGTAACAGGTCTACATCAATGATTGCGACCACTAAAAACCAGTGAATGGGTTTGCGTAAACCCACGTTAAGGTAGACGTACCTTTTACCATATGTAACGATCGGTTTTACATTCGCCGTCTGTAAGCTTAAAACAGACTCGTGAAGCCTGTCGTTAGAATTCGCGGGACGAACGCTAACTTCTGAGCCAGTGTCGACGAGGTAGTGAACTTTCGTTGTCACATCTGGGACATATAACAGACGTCTATGTTTGCCAGGTACGGTTGCCGATAACGCGTGCCGGCTAGGAAGTTTCCCGATTTTGAGGTCGGATAATTGCAGTGTTTCCTGCAATTTATAGAAGACTTGCCATACTGGTTATGATATCAGCACCAGTCGGGATTAACCGTCTCTCGTAATTGAGAGACAGATTATCTACGTGAAACTCTTCTTCACGGGGTTTATGACCGTCTAGGGTCATTACGAAATCAGAGATGGCGTCTCAATGTATGACATAGTTCGACGATGTCATTCGGGGTCGTTTGAGTTTTTTCTTTGGCTGAAAAGACCTCGGCATTAGTAGATTTTTTGATTTCTAAGATGTGGTCGGCAGATGCAGCCTGCTCGTCTATGAGGTTTTTGGAAAAGAGGCGAGAACTGCATGCACCTGTTGAGGAAGTTGTCTGAATAGGCCATCATCGAATGTTCGTTGGCCGATAACCTCTCCCACTCTTAGCAACATGTCTGTCGCAGAACCTTGTTGCAAGTCGATGTTACTGAGGAGTTGGTCTAACCTTTGACGGTCAGTAAAATCTCCACATTTCAAAATCTATCGTTTTAGTGTCTCATAAGGTTCTAAAACATCACTAGCAAACGTACTTGTTAAATTCGCGCTTTAGTGTCTTAACAACCGCGAGAATTTTTGTGCGTGAGTCCGTAATGCTCCTGCGTAGCAGAACCAGGCTTTGATATTGTCCGGCCCAAAAGGCGTTAACTGAATCGAGGTTGGGGGGATAGTCTCTAACTTAAATACTCGGGGTATCTGTTCCGTCATAGTGAAAAACCAAGTTTTATGATGAACGAAAAATAAATAATTAAAGTGTATCCGAAAACTCTAAAAATTGTATCTCAATATATAAAAGTCAAATATAGAAAGACAATCATTAACGAAGTTGCAAAAAGTAACAGACTCACACTTTATCGTTTAGTGTACCAGATCACGTCGGCCTCACCACTGAAGAAACCACCAATATTGTAGTTTGACAACTATGGACCAGTAACACCTTCTATTATCGAATCGTGCCCACCCAGTTAAAATCAGAAGTCAGAAGCGAAGGGGTTGGAAGATATATTTGATGCGTTATCAATATATCGAGAAGAGATTGATCTAATCTGGCCGATGATCTTAGGAAATGTTTCCCAGGCTGTGCTGTAACGTGATCTGGTGCGGATGTATGACCGAACGCCTTCAACTAAATAAGACCACTAAAAATAGCGTGGTCAGCGTCAAATGTCGAACGCTTAAAAAGGTATTAATTTTGGGGAGTTATATACAGCTACAACATTACTTTTAAAAAGCGCGCTCGTTTTTCCGCTTTGGAGAAACATACTTGGTAAAATTTTAAAGCAAATCAAAAGTATTCATCACTTCTCAACTTTTATACAACAGATATGGATGACGAAGTGTCTGTTCCAAAACGTTGTTAACCTTGAACATTGGATGATTTTTCATCTTGAATCAACAAAGACCGTTCGATTGTTTGTGACACGTATGATGGTGAAGAATTGTGTTTTAGGCTGGTTACTAATTGTCCACTTGTCCCTGGTAAAGGCGTGGTATTTACCAGGGATATCGCCGATCAATTATTGTCCACCACCGGTTGGTAGTGAGAGTAACTGCAAGGTACAACGTTTCAACATGATCTTACTTTTTTTATAGAGTGAGATTACTCTGCTTGTTAATAAGTTGACTTCAAAGAAGTCGTTTATCTCTTTCCGCTATGACTCGTAAGTTCTCTTCACAAGTTTTTTCACTCACTTATTTTTTGTTTTCTATTCACCCGGATATTAATGTTTCACGCGATTGTATGCGGTCCCTGATTGAGTTCATGATTTAGATAAGTTTTTATACGTCAAAACCACAAGGCAACTAACGATAAGAGTCCCCTTACTATTACTTATTTGGTGAGGCAAAATAATGGTTAGCATATCTTAAGCACACATTAACTTGTTACTATCGATCTAGCTGCAATCAGAGTGAGTGAATTGTAACTGTTGATTTCGATGAAGGGATGACGTGCGGTTGGTATTCATACAACCACAAACTGCTGACTCTGTATTACGAAAAGTATCCGCCTTGTCTGCTCAAAAATACATTGTGCTCGATGCATTTGACACCGGTCAGTTGATAATGGTGAATTACTCAACGACGAACATTCGGAAGCACTTATGGTGTTAGTGGTTTTTTTTTGGCATGTAATCAGCAACCGAAAACTGAATAATAAATATTGACTGCTCATTCTTGCAAATACGAAACATGTTCGGTTAACCTGATAGATTTGTTCATAAGCTGTAAGATTTCTCTATTAGGATCTAATGTTTACATTTTGTTAAGGTCGTTTATCTGCGGTTTAGGATTATTTATAAACTTGTAATTAATCGGAGAATAAGGGACCATTGGAACTCGTATGAATTTGTATAGGTGCTAATGGATACTGAGTGAACATCTGAGGCTGGAGTCCGTCATTTGGATTCACATTTCTTGCTGTGTAGTCTCTGTATATAAGTGGCAGTCGTAATACTGTATATCTGTGGATTCAATTTTTGCTAATTAATCAGGTTGTTAAATCTTGTCTTTAAACGAATAATCCCCATTGTTAGTTAGTAACATGTTTCGCATTTCTGCATATCATTCTCATATCTGAGTGAACTCGACCCTAAGACTTCTTATGCCACTTCTGACTGTCAAATTTAAACCAATAAAAACGCATAATATGAGCTTCAAAAAGGGATCATAAGTTTGGACGGATATTTTGTCACTGTTCTTGAGGGACCAGGTTTTCCATGTAGGTTTATTGTGTTTTTCGATCCGCTTATGCCAGCACCAACCTCAGACAATTGTTATGTTTTACCCACAAATGCTTTCATTCATTTTACCCCCAAATACACAGGATCAGTCTTTTAATACTGCAGATCATTGTTGTGCAGATACTATTTCTACCTCCAAGATAAATTGATTCGTCTCACTTCTCTTTATCAAACTTAAATCTCTTACATTTTACATCTAAACTAATTTTGTGGCATTATAACCCGTCCATAATATCCTAAATTTTGTGTCGGAATCGACAAACAAACAGCATTTCTGGGTAGGTTTTCAAACTATGGTTACTCAGATTATAAGTGTTTGTGTGATGCACCTTTAGCCTGTGTTTTAAGTTGTGATATTTCAAACATTTAGTCTCAAGTTTTATCACTGAGACATTCCGTCAGATTACCGAAAGTCCATCATTTGAAGGATACACTGCTTTCAATGCTTGATGATCAATTATAAAATTGTATATCAATCATATGCTTACAAAGGGACTTCATCAACCGATACGTTTGCAAAGTAACAACGATAACTCTGAAGACAACTGCAGTGTATACAACGGCTTTCCTCTCTTCTAACTCTAGTTACTGCAAAAGACAAATCTTGTGAGAAATTTACTAAGAGATATCAGTCAGTCAGCGGTTTGGAGTGCTGTTAGAGGTATGAGGGCAGTTATCACTTCCCGGTTGCCCACACCGTGGAAGGGTTCTTCTAGAGGTACCTGAAAAGCAAATTGGGTTAGAAGTGGCCTTAATGGCCTGAGAGCGTGACCGCAGTGCCCAAGGGACAACTGCTTGAGATCGGTCACACACGACTTTTTTGTGGGTAGTTTTTGTATTAGCTCAAGATAAATTTACATCCACGTTAATTCGATTACATATCAATTAATTTCAATGATTATTATAGAACGTGTCGATCAAGCAGTCATCACTTAAATGAAGAATAACATTGAGTTAATTAATACGATGAGACCCTTTGGGAAATCAATAAATCAACTTCATACGAAACGAATTAATACATTGAAATGAACTAAAATCAGATGCATAAAATGCACTCTGAATGTAGATTTTAAAATTGGTTTAGTTGATCTAAGCATCCTTTACACCTCCCTATTAACAGTTAATGCATCTTATAGTTCGTGATCATGTTTATTGACTTTTACCAACCATCTTAGTTTATGATTAACAGGTTTTGAATGTCGTTCTGGAACCTGTACTCATTAGAGACACACGTGTATTTTGGGGAGGTTTGTCATTCTAAAAAGTTCGTCTTAATGAAGCTCCGCTTTGTAGAAATGTGGAGGTATTTTGTAAGATATCTTCATGGACTTTTTATCCTGAAGACACTACTACAAACCAAGTCGGAATAAAGCCATTAATAATAATAATAATAAAAGTGGGGATATCAACCTTGTGAAATTATGAATCAACTGTAAATATAACGGGATTTTCAAAACATGGTCGTAGTGATAGATTGTTTATGATACAAAACGACCTGGGGTTACGCAGCTCGTTATTTGATAACATTTGATGTATTCGATTACAGCCTAAAATAAAACTTCATATTTTAGCATTTCTAACGAAGTTTTGTTGGCCGTCATCTTTTCTAAGGGTTTACTTATAGGAATCCTACCGGTTGTAAATGACGTCATAGCGGTACAAACATGTATCAATCCAAGTTGTCACACTTCATTTTAGCATAATGATAGGAAGTTAAGAACTACCTATTTTTGTGTTTATACGTCATGGTTCACAATGGCAGTGGATTTTTTCTTCAGCGGTAGTTCTGTCTACATATCTGATTAAAAATATTTCGGTGATCGACTTAAAAAAAGGCAATTACAGATTGCTAAAATCAACAGCACTAATTTGTTAAGTGTACATCAGGGTTTACATGACTAACTCGGAACTCACTAGTTTCTTGGGTAATTATCTTGTTATATTTCCTTTACTTGAGGATAAATTCTTATTTCTGGACTTTCGTCTATAGAATAAACGGTCATTTAGTAGAGAAACACAAATGCGCTTTCTATTTAAATCAAGTTCTGCATAGTCAATATGCACATAGAAACCATTTCTCATCTTAATTTTTTTCAAATAAGTGTAAGCAATTTTAAAACTGCTATGGTAAGCGGTGACCACATTTGATGCTTGTAGACAGTAGATGAAACACCGAGGTTATTTTCCTTTGATAGTATGCAGACATTCCGAATGAGATATTTTAAAAAATTTAAACTATTCTGTGTGTACATCGCCAACATACAGTTTATTAGACAGCTAGAATTTTTGTTCAGATCTAAACAGTAAACTTTTGAAGTCTACTTTTGTGTAGGAGTCTATGTTTCAGGAATCTCATCAATGCTCGTCATATAAAGCTCTTTATTGTTTCTTGCGTTTCTTTATATTTCTAGTCAGACTCTTGATTTTATCTTTTATTGCGCTTCAATCTTAGGTTTGATTTCTGCAGTTTGTCCTCAGAGCCATCTCCAGTCGAAAATCTTGGTCAAGTGGTCTTTGGAGAACGTCTATCACCATCGAGTTATGAGGTGATAATATTTTTATAATGATAGATGCACTTCATCCTAAAAAATTTTGTTTTTCCCTTAGCTGCTATTTTTATCTAGAATTCCGACTTTGCTTAGACTAATAGCACGTTAGACAGTATGTAAGTTCTTTGCTATCATGCACCAATAAATCCATATTAGAATCATGAGTAACTGTGCACGCTTTGAATCTCCACACTCTTTACTAGTATAGAGGAAAACGTGTGATCAATAAATGTGGGAAACATGATCATTTTTAGTTTTTGGGTTCCAGCTCAATAACTATGCATACGTTTGTTTACTAGGCTTTGAACTACACTGTTTGTGTGAAGACAAAATATAGAAGTGCTCATAGTGAGTTTAAGGAGTGTAATTTGACCCCGACGCACGATGTGTGAGAATAGAATACTTGTGAAAATGAATCGTAGTCTCACTGTCAGTTTTGAACAAGACGTAAAAATAGAAAACGCACGTAGTTGTTGCCTCACTGCGATAATTGTCGCAGTACATGCGTGTTAACAACGAAGAACACAATAAAATTATCAGTAGTAGATTACTGTATGTCATTAATGTAAGGGTAAGACCAAATGGTACCTTATGGGTATTCTTTAAAGCAAATGTGCTGGTATAAGCTTTTAGCAAACCAGCCATTTCTTGTTGCTTATATGGTGAATGACAAAATGTCAGCCACAACGTAGGACTAGGCACATATATGTATCGGTCCAAGTTGCCATACCTCATTTGCAGAACAAGGTGATCACCAAATTCATAAAAGTAGTTACTTCAATGGTAGTAATATATAAAATAAAGATAACATATAAGGATATAATACAGGAAGAAATAATTAGTTCGTAGAAAGAAAGGTATAAAGTAATTTTAATCTCACGGTTTGAGGGAAGACGAACAGTGTATACACCTACGCTATTATGATTGATTCTGAGCCATGTTACCCAGAGTCTTTAAACATTGGTTACGATAGTCGCGTGGACTCCAAACAAGTGGTCTGCATCTTTACAAAGCGTAGTTGTCAAACATGTATCAGGTTTGAATGCGATAATTTTGTTCACTCTATCGGCCTTTCTAATCCTGGAAGCAACACAAATGTTTTCGGCATAACTGTGGAACACTTGATCTAAGGTCATTCTCCATATTAGCCGTCTTCTGTGGTAGTCTATTACAACGCTAACCAACTTCATCGCAATGTATTTCCAATTCGATATAGCATCCGGCCTTCTGCAAGACTTATGAATAGATTAAGAAATCAATAAAACAATCAAATATAACATATTCGTAGCAACTATCCTAAGTGAATGCGCAGTCATATTCTTAAAAAACCAGCTATTGTGTTCTACAACTTGACCAACAAGTTATATTTATAAATAACGTGCCATACCTAACATCTATATTACACTGGGAACTCTTTAGTTTTAAATACCTTTTTAAATATGTTAGCAAATCAGCTTGTCAAAATGATTCTCACTGGAGTTATTGTGGTAAATTCATGTGTGCTTCAGTACGTTTTAGAGGATAAGTGGTTTTTTGTATACTTATTCAAAGACTACATTTAAGTTCTTAAGTCTCCTGACAGCGACTGTCTTAAGGCTGCAGTTCAGTTTAGGGTTTGCACTAATCTGTTACGAGTATACTGATTATCATTATTGCCATGCATAGTATTTTGCAAGAGAGCAGTCAAACTCACTATATCCTCAAATAATACCATTGGGATTATAGTGAGTTCAAAAGGATAGTTTCATTTCGGACCCATCTAGTAACTGAAGTTAAGTATTTTTGAATATATGGCATTACTTAAAGTGTTGTTGTCATATTCAATAAATATTAAAGATCATATGCACTTGAAATTATCCATAGTCTTTATATGTAAAGCATTAATTTCCATATAGTACCTATGGGATTTTAGATATTTGACATGTGCAGTACTACATACATACGTTGGCTACTTAGCCACATTTCCTCCTAGTAGTTCACCTAAATTAACTTATCTAGTAATCAACAGGGATCACCTATTTTTTCCGTGTTTTTGTTGGAAATTTTGAACCTTTTTTCTTACATTTTAGATTATATTTGGCAAAGAAGAGACATGTAAAGTTCTTTGCACGAAAAAATACTCACATGCTAACTACAAGAAATATTTATTTATTACTAAGGCTATTATGATGGGCTATGAGCATCATTGGTAAGCTTTTTAAATGTTTTTTTTTTACTCTACGATAGTATCACCACGAAATTACACTTGTCACTAATCTTCATATAAATTGTGTGACTCAAAGCTAAGTATATAGACTTTTACTCGAGCTGACTGTAAATCTATTCCAAGGTATTGCATTTTACTATTTTAAAATTTGAATCCAATTCATAGTCCTTACATAATTGTTGTACAATAATAGTTCTAATTTTCCGTTAAGATCAGTGTCTACTGCAAATATACATAAATTATCGATAATTTAGTTTTTTTGTCATTTATACGAGCTAGTATACATTTCATAGCCGGCTAATCAAAATTTTGTTTATCAGAATGCAGTTCATACAAAAAAATAGTACTCCTAAATTTACATGTATTATAGAAGGAATGCTTTGTGATCATAATTCTCAGTTGTGATTTTTAATCCAAAACATAAATGTTGGTATTTGTTAATCTATATTTATTCGATCATTACTTGATATCATGTTCCATGCATATTCAACATAATCTGTGTTTTCATTTCAGGGTTATGGATAACTTGCCAGTTACAGTTTGTGTACAAGCTGTAGACGGAAAAAAATATTGTAAAACTTCTATTCCACTTGGATGCTTTGAGGGTAATCAGGATAAATCGGATTCTGTGTGTTTAGGAATAGTAAGTTACTTGTCTTGTGTGATGATTTAAATTTTCGCTATGGATTCATCTTATAATGATGTTTTTATTACCATATGTTAAATAGCCACACATATTTACCTTAGTGTGATATCTTGATTGTTTTGAAATGGGTGGGATAGTTGTACCATTTAACTATTTTTGTTGGACGTTGTGAGATATTTCATAACTTATTATGAAATCTTGATGAAAATGAAAGATAAAAAACAATTAAAGCAAAAATATAACACTGTTGAAAGTCCACAAATATCCTTCAACAAAGTCTCTAGAGGCCTGAAACTAGTCTGAAGACGTTTTGTTCAATCACTTATGAATATAAACTTCCCAGAAACATGGAAGGAAACAAAGGATTCTGTTGTTTTTATTGAATTATTGGTGATATTGCTTACATATTTAATGCGTTTCCAGGAGCTTTCATTGTCGAAGTCATAAGAAACCTTAAAAACAATTTTTTGTTGTTGATGTACATTGTTAGTGTTATATCTTGTGGCCGAGTGGATGACTTGTTAATGTACGACGTGATAAAACCGCCAATCAGAGAACAGCGGATTATCGGTTGGGACAGTGGCACACGAAAACCGTACGAGCAGTCTAGAGTGCCCTGCTTTCTGCCTAGCCCAGCCGGTTAAGTCCAGAACACCAATAACAGCCTCTGCAATATGAATCATTATTCTCAAACATACTGGGTCTATATACCAACCAAACAGACCACATGGTAGCATAAATAGAAAATAATATTTGTACAAGATTTAGCCAAATGTGGCTGTGAGTAGGGGGAACAGTAATCAATTGACTGGGGATAACTCAGGAGTGGTAAATCATATAATAATAGTCTATAGGTCAAAATAAAGCTTATAATAAGAGGAACATGAATATGAATAGTTACGTTACTTAGCAACTATACAAAGGGAAATATGCATATAACATTGGTCCATAAATAGTCCTCAGAGTTACCATACATAATTCTCCACGGGATACAACAGTTTGGATATTCATAAAAATATCCAAAAATTATTCTGTTTATTCTAATTCTATCTTGAATGCAAAATGGTATGATTTAACATGTCTTCAGACTTTTCACATATCGTTTCCTATTGGTCAGCATTCACGGTCGTCCTAACTGTATAAATATGCATTGTCTGTAAATTATATTCATTCTTCTCCTGACCCCTTAAACAATATCCATCTAACGGTTTGTGTTCTAATATATTGGATATTGGGGGACTGTATTGCGGTCATACTGTAATATCTGGCGTTGATCAATCGGTAGAATTTCGAGTAGCCACATCACAGTCCACAATACATAGATTAACCTTGGAGTAAGGCTTTTACTCTTATAGAAGCGACTTGAAGTTCAAGCAGCTGACGTATCAAACATCTATCTATTTTCGCCATAATAAGGAATTTTATATATGATGGGAATTTTTCAGCAATTTTATATATTCAGGTTATGGTTTGTGAGAAACTAGAATATTATTAAATGGAAAAAGCATCAGAGAATTTGAACTAGTTAATTATTGTGTTTTTACTTGTTCTGTGATTTCTTATACTGGCATATAATTCCCATTTAACATTAAAATTAAAAACACGAATTTCAGCGAAGGGATCTCTTTTCAACGAATTTATTATCAAGCTGTACAATCGTATATATATCTGAAAAAGTTTTGTTAAAGTACTAATTCCGTGAGGAAATGTGAACAATAATAACCAAGATTATAATACTAGATTACGTAATACGAATAATAATAGATTTAGTGAATAGAATAAGACGAATAAAATGTATTGTTTACAATAATTAAAGGTCATAGAGGTGTAAAATAACCAAGATGATATGATAGGTATTCATGAATAAAATAATGCGAATATAAAACATAAGTAAAGGGGGAATGGAGTAATAATAATAATAATAATAATAATAATAATAATAGAATGATAATAATAATATTAAGGCCATGGTAACGATAATGATAAAACGTACTTCTTTTGTACGCATAGTTCTGGTTTGAGCTCGTGGATGGTAAGAGCTTCGGCTATTTTTAAGAGTTTGATACGAAGAAATCTTGGTAGATTTGAACGAATCATATAAACAACCTTAAAATCAGACTGTGGATTCGTCGAATGATTACAGTCGATTAAGTGTTCAAGTATAGAACTTCTAACTGCTTTCCTTTCACCATTGTAGAACCAAACTGGTATATGTTCTCGTATCCGAGTTGAAAGCGAGCGTTGGCTACGGCCGATGTACCTTGCTCCACAAGAGCAGGTGAACTGGTAGATGCACATTGAGGCGACCAAACGCGGGAGCTTTTTGTGACTGTTTTTCAGTAACATCAGTAACATAATCCTCAAATTGTTTACGTTCATCTACCGACAATTCAAACAATGCGTGACTTCTTAGAGATATATTGCGATCTAGTTCAACTATTCGAGATTTAATAGCATCGATACAATTGAGTGCATGACGTTTGAGAGTTTTTGCATTGGGATGAATGTGGTTTCGTCTTAGTGCCTTCCAGAAGAGTTTAGGATAATCATTACTTTCGATACAGCTTTCGAGAAAATTGATCTCATATTTCACTAGCGCAAGCTTGACGGTGTAACGTAAGAACCCATTGAGTTCTTTCATCGTCATATGGTCCTTGCATTTCTTCAATTGGCATATAATTCCCATTTAACATTAAAATTAAAAACACGAATTTCAGCGAAGGGATCTCTTTTCAACGAATTTATTATCAAGCTGTACAATCGTATATATATATGAAAAAGTTTTGTTAAAGTACTAATTCCGTGAGGAAATGTGAACAATAATAACCAAGATTATAATACTAGATTACGTAATACGAATAATAATAGATTTAGTGAATAGAATAAGACGAATAAAATGTATTGTTTACAATAATTAAAGGTCATAGAGGTGTAAAATAACCAAGATGATATGATAGGTATTCATGAATAAAATAATGCGAATATAAAACAAAATAATAGAAGTAACGTCGATAGGAATCTTAGTTATTCAGTCCCAAAGAAAAGCCTTTATATAAGTCTGGAATTTAAAGGTGATCGAACATCAGACATAATTAAAAATCGTTTAACAACAACGATTAAAAGGACATTTAACGCTGCTAAACTACGAATAACCTTCACTAGTAAGAACTTATTCTCTGTGTCCATAAAAGATAAGCTCCCGCGTTTGGTCGCCTCAATGTGCATCTACCAGTTCACCTGCTCTTGTGGAGCAAGGTACATCGGCCGTAGCCAACGCTCGCTTTCAACTCGGATACGAGAACATATACCAGTTTGGTTCTACAATGGTGAAAGGAAAGCAGTTAGAAGTTCTATACTTGAACACTTAATCGACTGTAATCATTCGACAAATCCACAGTCTGATTTTAAGGTTGTTTATATGATTCGTTCAAATCTACCAAGATTTCTTCGTATCAAACTCTTAAAAATAGCCGAAGCTCTTACCATCCACGAGCTCAAACCAGAACTATGCGTACAAAAGAAGTACGTTTTATCATTATCGTTACCATGGCCTTAATATTATTATTATCATTCTATTATTATTATTATTATTATTATTATTATTATTATTATTATTATTATTACTCCATTCCCCCTTTACTTATGTTTTATATTCGCATTATTTTATTCATGAATACCTATCATATCATCTTGGTTATTTTACACCTCTATGACCTTTAATTATTGTAAACAATACATTTTATTCGTCTTATTCTATTCACTAAATCTATTATTATTCGTATTACGTAATCTAGTATTATAATCTTGGTTATTATTGTTCACATTTCCTCACGGAATTAGTACTTTAACAAAACTTTTTCAGATATATATACGATTGTACAGCTTGATAATAAATTCGTTGGAAAGAGATCCCTTCGCTGAAATTCGTGTTTTTAATTTTAATGTTAAATGGGAATTATATGCCAATTGAAGAAATGCAAGGACCATATGACGATGAAAGAACTCAATGGGTTCTTACGTTACACCGTCAAGCTTGCGCTAGTGAAATATGAGATCAATTTTCTCGAAAGCTGTATCGAAAGTAATGATTATCCTAAACTCTTCTGGAAGGCACTAAGACGAAACCACATTCATCCCAATGCAAAAACTCTCAAACGTCATGCACTCAATTGTATCGATGCTATTAAATCTCGAATAGTTGAACTAGATCGCAATATATCTCTAAGAAGTCACGCATTGTTTGAATTGTCGGTAGATGAACGTAAACAATTTGAGGATTATGTTACTGATGTTACTGAAAAACAGTCACAAAAAGCTCCCGCGTTTGGTCGCCTCAATGTGCATCTACCAGTTCACCTGCTCTTGTGGAGCAAGGTACATCGGCCGTAGCCAACGCTCGCTTTCAACTCGGATACGAGAACATATACCAGTTTGTAAATAAATTATATATTTGTAATATCCCAATGAGTAGAAAAATTAGATTTTCTGACGTTTCGTGACTCAGTGTAAGCCACTTCTTCAGAGAATAAATAACCAAATTAACATTAATCCAAGTTTAAATAGTACAACGGAACAATCAAAGAATATTAGGTGATCAATCAAAAACCGGTCTGAATAAATCAATGTCACGTCATTTCATTTCGTTCAAAGTGATTCATAAGGGATATGTATGTAATTTTGTGTGTATGTATGCATTGTTAATGACGAAAAATGTGTGACCTTTGTAATGACAAAGGATAGAGTTTAATTTGTAATGTAATGGTGTGAGATTGTAAATAATATTAGACTGGTTGACTAGGATAGATAGTCCAAGTGGGATGTATGGAAAGAAGGCCTTACCATACATCCCACTTGGACTATCTATCCTAGTCAACCAGTCTAATATTATTTACAATCTCACACCATTACATTACAAATTAAACTCTATCCTTTGTCATTACAAAGGTCACACATTTTTCGTCATTAACAATGCATACATACACACAAAATTACATACATATCCCTTATGAATCACTTTGAACGAAATGAAATGACGTGACATTGATTTATTCAGACCGGTTTTTGATTGATCACCTAATATTCTTTGATTGTTCCGTTGTACTATTTAAACTTGGATTAATGTTAATTTGGTTATTTATTCTCTGAAGAAGTGGCTTACACTGAGTCACGAAACGTCAGAAAATCTAATTTTTCTACTCATTGGGATATTACAAATATATAATTTATTTACAAACTGGTATATGTTCTCGTATCCGAGTTGAAAGCGAGCGTTGGCTACGGCCGATGTACCTTGCTCCACAAGAGCAGGTGAACTGGTAGATGCACATTGAGGCGACCAAACGCGGGAGCTTATCTTTTATGGACACAGAGAATAAGTTCTTACTAGTGAAGGTTATTCGTAGTTTAGCAGCGTTAAATGTCCTTTTAATCGTTGTTGTTAAACGATTATGTCTGATGTTCGATCACCTTTAAATTCCAGACTTATATAAAGGCTTTTCTTTGGGACTGAATAACTAAGATTCCTATCGACGTTACTTCTATTCATATTTTTCTCTATGAATCGGTCTGGGTAGCCATTTTTCATCAAGGTTTTCTTGAGGAATTCGAGTTCTTCGTTAATGCATTCAGTACTACAAATCCGATGTATACGATAGCATAAAGAATGAATCAAATTTCTCTTTCTATTTAACGGAACCCAGCTATAGAAGTTGGTTAGTTGACCGTTCCATGTTTGCTTTCTAAAGATAGATCTTTTCAAAGAACCATTACTTCTCAATAGATGTACATCAAGAAAAGGGATTGATTGGTCTTTCTCTCTTTCTAATGTAAAGTCTATGGAAGGGTGGCATGAGTTAAAGGAATGTAAGATATCGTCCAAATCAATATTATCGTCGCAAACGACAAATGTGTCGTCTACGTATCTTACGTATAGTTGGAATCGATTTATCATTGAACTGAGTTGATTGTTTTCTAGTTTTGCCATGAAGCAGTCTGCTAGAATTGGACCTAATGGAGATCCCATTGCAATCCCATCTCTTTGTCGATATATTTCATTGTTGAAACTAAACTGGACATTAAAGGTACAACGTAACAATAATTCTTTTAAGAGTTCAGTTGGAATACCTAGATCTATGTTGTTAGAGTCAATATACTCACAAATATAACAAATCGTTTCCGTTAATGGTACACTAGTGAATAAAGAATTAACGTCAAGCGAGAACATGTGTTTTCCGGAAGTATTAACATCCTTAATACGATCAATAAATTGAAAAGTATCATGAATAGAATATTTAGATACTTGCCTTCTAACTGGTTCCAATTTTTCAGCTAACCACTGGGCTAATCGGTGGTATGGTGAGCTTGACATATCCAAAATGGGTCGTAATGGTAAACCAGCTTATATATAAGTTTTTACACCTTCAGTTTGTCATTTATGCAGTGTCGAAATTTCGGTGTAGAACTGTTTGCTAATCTTAGGATGGTAGTCTGTAGATAGATAAGTTAAAGACTAACAAGCTATCTTTACTGTGTAAGATTATTGCGTTGGTTTCTTCATTTGATCTTTCTAAAATCAAACGGTTAGCGGTAGCCAAACCAAGATTTGGCATCACTCCGTGAAGTTTTTAACTGTTGGGCTTAACCGTGTAGATAGATGAAGATTCCCTGTTTGGGATCCGCCTGATTATCATAACCAATCGTTGGTTGACATGCGTGAGAATTGTTTGCAATGGCGTAGGTGTATTCACTCTTTGTTTTCCTTTAGATCCTAAGCTTTTTAGGTTCTACTCAACTTGTGAATTATTTCACTAATTTAGATCTCAAATAATATCTCCGATGTCTTGTCTTTCTATTACTACTAGTACTGTTACTACTTTCATTACTCCGGGATTCGCATTTCAAACTTGATTTCACTGTTCTGATGGGATGTGATAGCATGGACGTGTGCACACATGTGACAGGTCGTACGTTGCGCCTGGATGCTTGATTTACTGTAATCAATTAAACTATAACCCCCAAAGTCATGTTTACCTTACTCCCTCAGCTATCACACATGTTTTAACTTCGTAAATAATAGTTCCAATTTTTTTGGCTGGAAACACATTTTTGGACTTAGTAAGGACTCGAAATATTTCTGTACATTCTGCATTTTTGTCTCAATATTATTAGTACAAAATCAAACATATATCTACTGACAATATACGGTCGTGAGAAGATATCAGGATTTTGTTTAAAAAAATCCTCAACTTTTTAAATGAAGTTCCAAATCGTTGTTGCGTTAGATTCATCCGTCTTTAAGATGAACTAGTGATACAAGACAAAGTGTTTATGAACAGATTGGGATAATTGAATATCTGATAGGTAAATATTTACTGTGTTACAAGAGTGTAACCGCCACTCGTCGGCAGGCTGTAACTGCGTCAGCTCTAAAATTCATTGTCATTTTTTTTACAGGTTAATACGTTTATTAGTTGTCGTCCGCTAAATAAACGTATTTGATTATTAGAAACTTGAGACGATATTGATTGTTTCATAAGTATTAAGCATCGAGTTGTTTTCTACATTTCATCATCTAATTTCTTTTTTGCTCATACTTGGTTTCTTTTACTGGTTTTAGTATTTCTGTATTCAGTTTCTCACTCCCCCTTCTATTGATTTCGTCTTATTGTGGTGATTTGAAGTGTAATAATTCATAAGTGTAGATTGACAATAATAATTTAATCGTCTTTACGTTAAGATTTCTGTTTGACTTAACAAACCCCATTCTTGCAACTATTGCAGTTGGCAAGACGTGATACCCCCTCCTTAACTTTAAGAAGCTCAGCTTGAGGTACTATGTTTTTAATATAATTTCGATTGTTTTATTGGTGCTTATAAAATGATTTTCATTATATATATATGTTCTCTTTTTTAATCAGCCTTTGGCCAAACATAGTACAATCTTGTTAAATCATGTCAGTCTGCACATTGTCTATCATCCAGTTAAAGATTCATGGAGTAGTTCAGGAAATGTTAAAGCTGGACGTATTCTTTCAGTGATTGCCAGTCCTAGTAGGTAAGATATAAGGCTACTTATTATAAGTTGTTATGTTTTTATGTTTTGCACTTGAAGAAACCTAAGAAAAAACTCGTTTTCAAATTAAAATCTGATATTAATTTTGATCTTCGTTTCCCTCACTAGTCTATTTTACCTGTCAAGTGACCCTTCTGTTTTATGCATGAATGTTTAGTTGTGAAGGTGCAGTTTATAAAATATTTGAACTAAGCTCTTTTTTTTAAGGGACAGATTGTACTCTCCATGTGATTCAGAAAAGACAAGTTGTTGAGTTATCTTGTATGGAAGTGATTATCTCTTGTGATCACAGAATAGCATCATTATTGTCGTAGACCGGTTATTCTTTCATGTATTACAACCAACTACACGAAACTGTATATAATGTATTATCATTATTAAATCTTGTGATTAGCTAAAAGTTGTTTGTTGAATACATCTATTACTTGGGTTTTTATCCATTAAATCACAGATTCAGACCTCTATCCACGTTTGTTTTGGATACTCAACGTGTGTCCCTAATTTTCATATGACTGGAGTATGGTTAATAGTTGATTGCACGAATTATGTATTAACTGAGTCAAATTACATCTGTTGCTCGGTGGTTTTGCATCTTTGAAGTTTAAACGTTGAAAAGTGAAAGTCAAGTGCTTAAACTGGGTTGGTGGGTATGGAAGACCCACTTAGAGGAGTTAGAAGATTCTGATTCCAAACTAATGGTGCTCATGGGCTACAGAATTCTGAGAGGACAAACGGCATATGGACCTATTCTTGCTCACCGGCTGCATCTCCTAACGTCACTCCACTGCCTCGTGGATTAGACTTATGGGTTAAAGGTTCGGGATGTTCCTCCTCAAGAAAACCCCATGCTTCGGTTTGGGAAACCGCGCAGTATGCTAGCCCACACACAAATTCAATGATTTGTGTGGCGTGTATATATTGTAATGCCCTTTATACCAGTATTTATGTGTTTAATTAGTGTGGTCAGCATTTTCAGTCTGACGTTCATATATTTAAGTTTTTAATATCATTCATTTGTCACATTAATTATAAAGATAATGGCAATGTATTTCTGAATTTCACTTAAAAAGATTACACAGTTTTAGGATAAGATATTAATCGGAGATTTTATCTCAACCAACTCATCTGATTTTTCCTCTCAATGCTATTTCACATGACTTAATAATGACTTCTTATTGGTGTTGCGAATTACCAAGAAATAAACACTTTAATGAAGTTACTTGTGACTAAACGGAACGTCATATTGATTAAGTTCAGTCTTAGTTTGCCAAAAATGTTCTATTGGTCAGGCTTAATCTTTCAAATTTTCAGTCGACTAAAATGTAATTGTGTACACTTTTCTTTCATTTCTTCATGTTTTCATATTTCATATTCTTGAAATGGATATCAGTGGATATCCTTTGATCTACACCTGCGTTATGTTCGTAATCTCACATATCTTCCTTGTTTCATTTATTTTATAGTATTGCTCATCCAAACAATGCACCGGATTGTACATTAAAGCAGCCATTAATACTCCCGTCTGATTTAAAGGATGAACTTACAATAACTTACACATACAGCGTAACATTCGAAGTAAGTGGATGTATGAAAAATTGTATATTTATGTCTACAAAAGCACAGTGTAACATAATGATGCCGACTGATTTTTAGTCACAGTTTTGAAGGCCCGAACTTATTCTTTCTTGTTCTTCTTCACTCAATATTACGTTCCAGCCTAGCGGTCTAAAGGGAGTGCCGTGAGAACTGAGAGTCTTGGTTAAGGACCGATAACGAGTCCTGTACTTAGATTAGAGAACTGCCCATCGCTTTCTGGTTTCCGGTGGTTCTCCGGATAATAATTATATTACAAAAATTATCCGCAAATGTAAATGAACTATCTGATTGTTGATTTCATTTAAACTATAGGAGGATCTTACGCGTAAATGGTCATCTCGTTGGGATTATATTTTGGACACAATGCCGCAAAGTAACATTCAGTGGTTATCTATTTTGAATTCATGTGTGCTAACATTATTCCTTTCTGGTCTACTTGCAACCATTCTTCTGCGTACACTACGTCGTGATATTGCTCGTTACACAGAACTTGAAAGCGCGGTAAGTGATATTTGTCCTGTCGTCCTTGCATATTTGACCTTTTTTAGGCACAATATCTCATGTTATATTTTCTACATTATTTAGACCGCTGTTCAGGAGGAATCTGGTTGGAAATTAGTTCACGGTGATGTATTTCGTCCGCCTAACTGGGGTATGCTTTTCTCAGTTGTTGTTGGCTCAGGAGTTCAAATCTTCCAAATGTTATTGGTCACCCTATTTTTTGCATGTCTTGGATTTTTAAGTCCAGCCAATCGTGGTGCATTGATGACTTGTGCTTTGGCTGTATTCGCTTGTTTAGGAGCTTCTTCGGGTAAAGTCATAATGTATTCTAAAGTATTCATTGTTTTTTCTTAAAGAACAACCTATAGTTGTCAGTCACTCTTCAATATAAAGTGTTATAAGTTAAATGATAATATTTATGAACTGTGTTTAGTTGATCGACTGTATATGTAAGGTGGTTGGTTGTGTATAGGCGGTGGCATCCAAGTTCGACACTTACTGTATTTAGTTCGATTTGATCAATCTCTTAGATATATCATCAGCTATTACAGACCCTATTACTCATATCAGATCACACGAATCTTTGGCAAACGGATATGCGTATTTCTGTCACTGTTGATTTTGTCGAATACCTAACGGACTTGTACTTGGTACTGAAAACTCCAGAATCCGACGACACGTAAGGAAAACACAAAAACTGCTGTTATGGATTTATTTGACCCCAAAAGTAAATCGAAAGGATACGTGAATACACTCCTTTATTTATATATTGATGTTGTTTACACTTGATGATTAGTTAAAAATTATCACACTTAAGGGAAAAAACAGTTACTACAAAGACCAAAGCTACGAATTTCACAAGGAATAAATGCAAAGAATATCATACTGAAATGAATCTATGTTATACTGGACGAAATATCGCACTGAAAATAAAACAAATATTACACTAATCATCATGTTGAATTAATGACGAAAGTAATGCTGAACAAAAATCACAATCAGTTAAATACACGATGTTGCATTTTATTTTTTCATATCACTTATTGCGAGTTGCTCTGCTGAATCTAACTTAAAGACAAAATTGTACAACCGAAACGACTAAACATCTGACGGAAGGTGTTAACATGTGTTTCCAAACAGCGTTCATTTGTCACTGAACTCTAAGCTATCCATCGAAAAGTTACTTTTTTTACTGGCTCCGCATGCAATCACCTTTACAACTTCATACATAAAGATAATCCTTTGAGCTGTCGTTAAATTTATGCTAAACATACAGTATTCGGATTTCAGCGCGAATTCAGTGGAAATACAATAACCTTTTGGTTGACCAAGTTTTATATTGTCCCTCCCAAAAGAGATAACTAAATGCTTTCATAGTTGAGTAACGACCTACGACTATTCTCTCTATTCCTTTTATTCAAAATACTCGTGAAATCCTTCAAAAGTTTGGCTCTTAATCTCCCTTGCCGTATTACATTTTATCATCTCGTGTATTTTTCTGAAATGGGATTCATATACAATTTCTACGTATCAGTCAGTCAGTCACTCATCTACAACGTAGGACCAGGCACATATATGTATCAGTCCAAGTTGCCATACCTCATTTGCAGAACAAGGTGATCACCAAATTCATAAAAGTAGTTACTTCAATGGTAGTAATATATAAAATAAAGATAACATATAAGGATATAATACAGGAAGAAATAATTAGTTCGTAGAAAGAAAGGTATAAAGTAATTTTAATCTCACGGTTTGAGGGAAGACGAACAGTGTATACACCTACGCTATTATGATTGATTCTGAGCCATGTTACCCAGAGTCTTTAAACATTGGTTACGATAGTCGCGTGGACCCCAACCATGTAGTCTACATCTACCAACTTTGCTCAGACCAGCAGTTCGTGACTTTATGGATTGATGTCACTTTTTGATTTTATTTGTGAAGGCTGTGATACTGCCCAGGTGCCCAGACTGAAGCAGGTGGTTTTCTTAGGGGGCCACACTCGGAGCCATTGATCTAAGGGTCTGATCCACAAGGCAGTGGAGCATCGTAAGGAGATGCAGTCCCATGGTAGCCGGTGACCAACGTTTGATTCATACGCCATTTGTTCCCTCAGGATACTGGAGCCGATATGCATCATTGGTTTGGAATCAAAGTTTTCCAACTCCCCTAGATGAACTCACCGTGTCCACCAACTCGGTTAAAGCGCCGGACATTCACTTCGTCCTCTCAATTTCGTAAACAACAGTAGTGCCGCAAGAAGGCAGTCAGTAGGACTTCCCTGGCAGGGGCTGTATATGCGTGGCCGTGTGAGAGCATTTCGAGATGGAGGGAGGGATCTCTCCACCCTCGGCCGTACCACGGCATTTGGGGGCCTTCCCTAACTATCTTGTAACCATCTTCAACACAAATCAACATTGCGCATCGTGGTAGTCGGTGGTTGGGCATGCATAATACCTGGCTCAACAATTTCCGTCGATGTAGATTCACAACATCATCAACTGATTTTGTCATCATTCCCTAATACCCTGAGTATAACCTCTCTTTTACTTACCCGGTGATTCTAGCGGATATGAGCAATGTTTCTAAGATGTCTGTGATCAAATACTAGTAAATGATGAGTATCTTGTACTCTTAATGGCCACGTTTCGCAGCCGTAAAGTAGAACAGAACGAACTGCCGCGCAGTATTCTCGTCCTTTTGTTGATAGGTGGGTATCTCATCTTCGCCACAGGTGACGTAAGTTGGCAAATGCAAAACGAGCTTTTTGAATCTGTTGTGAACTTGAGCCCGCTCAGTTATCATGTGATTTATTCGTCAATCGAAATACGACTTTTCTAATCTTAACACTGTGCCAAATCAATGACGTTCTACCAGTATGAGCAGTCTAGCGTCTTTGTTGGTCCCTTGTCCGCCTAGCCCTTCCAATTGAGTCCAGAACATCAATGAAAGCTTTCACTATGCAAATTATTTATTTCAAACATACTTGGTTTATATGCCAGTCAAACAGACCGCATCACACCATAAAATAGAAAATAATATTTGTACACGATCAAGCCAAAATGTAGCTGTGAACGTAGGAGACAGTAATCAATAAACTAAATATAATTTAGTCACAGTAAGTCGTATAATAATAATCTGCAGGTCAAAATGAACCTTATAATAAGATGAATATAGATACACATTATCTAATTACTGAATAGTTATACAATAAGAATATTTATAGAATATTTGTCTATTAATAGATCCCAGATGTTACCCGTACTTTAATCTTCACTAGGATATAACAATCCGTCTTGAGATTTCGTCAGATATCAACCCATTAGGGCTGACTAGACTTCCGAGATAAGTGAAGTTGTCGATGCGTTCGACCACTCCCTATCCTTAGTTCAGGTGTTGACACAGGCTAGTCCTGTAGCAACAATTTTCGTTTAGAGAGGGAAAAACGCATACTAAACATCCTGGCATTGTTGCTGAGTGCTTGTCATCAATCATGTGGACAAATTATTTGGCTGCTGAAAAGAACAAGAGGTTATACACCATCAATGTTCTCACCAGTACAAGTGCTCGACAGGTATCTAGGTCTTCAATCATTTTTACAGCCTTCAAGACCACCAAAGTTTTAGATTCGCGTAAAAAAGTTGTTTCCTACAATATGTTATCATAAGATAATTCGATATTTCGTGAAATTATTGAGTTACTATTCCATTTTATTCATTTTACGCTTTTATTTTACTTAAAGGTTATGCTTCAGCTCGAATCTACAAATTTTTCGGCGGTTTGCGTTGGAAGACTAATGTTATATTAACTGCAACAGTTTGTCCTGCCTTAGTTTTTTCAGTGTTTCTTATTTTGAATGTCGCACTTTGGATTTTGGATAGTGCAACTGCTACTCCGTTTGGCACTATAGTGGCACTTTTAGCACTATGGCTTTGTGTTAGTCTGCCTTTGTGTTTCCTTGGAGCATTCTTCGGTTTCAGGAAACCGGTGAGTGTGTAGTAGTTTGATTATTTGTTACTCGACATATAATCATTGACGAAAATTCTTAAAATTTGAGGAAAATAAAATCCTTTCACTAAATTTTGGCGTGACTTTGATCATGGCCAGCAATGTAACCTAGGAATCTCGTCTCGTTGCCCTACTTTGACCAGCGTACCTGTGTCTTAGTGTTTATGTTCTAACTGACACTCGAACGTTGTACCTATCACTTCAAATGTTAGCACAATATCCATTAAGGTATGTAGTTCATTTGGTCACTAACGTGATCCGACGATTAAGAGGTTTATTATTTGTAAGTGGCTTATCCTTCCAGCAGTTAATATTTCGTTTGAATTTTGTTCAGTTCTCTGTTATAAGCTGTTAACCAGTGATCGATTGTTAATGATTTTTTAGCTTCAAACTGTTTCCGAAGAAAGGTTAGTTCTGATGTTTCGATGTTTGATCTCAACATGTGCTTATAATCTATTCCTACGGAATGTAATAAGCGGTGACTCAGTGGTTAGGGCTTTCACCTTCCTGCCACTAAATCGACTGGCAGTTTAAAGTTCTCTCTACCTACTTCAGTTTAGACAACTGCGGCTTCACAATCGAAATGCTGCGTTAATCCAATTGCATAAATTGTTTGTCCTTGGTAAATAGGTCAACAAAAGGGGAATTCAACTTAGAGAAAAACAGTATAATGGGTTAGTGAATATTATGTAATTTTCATCACTTAAATCACGGGGAATTAAATCTAGGACTTTCAGTCTTGCTCGCGAACATTTAACCTCTAGGCTGTTGAGCTGGTATCCACCTGTTAGGCTAAAGGTTTTGGGTCCTATGCAACGGTGACAAAGTTAGTGGACAAGCAATCCTGAGGAGTCCCATACCAGGATTAAACTACTGTTCAGTGTCTCCTGGTTTTCTATGGTGGTCTAGCTAAGATCAGTTCGTTACTTGAACTACTGAAAAAACAGTCACAATGACGCATATGTGTACGTCTAATCAGGAACTTCCCTGCCCGACTGGATCATTTACTTAGTAAGTTTAATTTTCTTTAATGTTTTTTTTTAAAATATTGTCTTTTACGTAATTCTATTTCTAGGTATTTGAAACTCCTGTTCGTACTAATCAAATACCACGACAAATACCTTATCAAAGTTTATATAGTAGACCCTTGATGGCATTTTTCATTGGTGGATTATTGCCGTTCAGTTGTATATTCATTCAATTGTTTTTCATATTCAATAGTATATGGGGAGCACAGTTTTACTATATGTTTGGTTTCTTATTCTTGGTTTTCATTATGCTGGTCATTACAATATCTGAGACATCTATACTAATGTGTTATTTTCAATTGTGTGGAGAGGTGGGTTTTTTGTTTATTCCGCCACTAATTATTCAATATTTTCATGTGCTTTTTTCCTGGGAGAAATATAGTCATGCCATTTTCTGATGTGTACTGGCTAGTAGCAGCAGTTTTTGGGAGTTCAGTGTTGATGGAGTCCCAAAAAATTCCTCGTCAAGGTCCCCAAAGGCTCATAAACGCCGGGAAACATTTTATGCAATCGGCGTTGAATAGAATCTTCACAGAAAAATCTAGAAAATACAGAATCACGTACTACGGGTTTGATAGGATATTTACGTATTCTACTATTATATTTAGTGTGGCTCCAGAAATTTCTAGTGGCACAAGGTCAGGTGTAGGACTACAAACACCCTCGTTTCTCTGTACATAAACTAGCCTTGGAGTAGAGCTTTTATTCGCATTTTGCGTCTTCTCTATGGTGTTACAGTTGACATGTAGAAGTAGTTGGGGGTATCAAAACGATAAGCAATGCAATAATCAATTATTACACAAGCTGCGTTATGAAGGAAAATAATGTCAACTGTTTAATTATCAATCATTTTTTCATGATTTGACTCCATTTTAGTGGATTGTTTTTATTTATTTTTGATTGGAAGTTTAATTCAATAGGCACTAATTCAAGATAATCTAAGCCTTGTAAACTAACACATTTATGTAATTACTGTGTTGTTCTCACAGTTTTTCTTATCTGTTGTGAACAGTAATTTTGAACTACATGCTGTGTCTAGCTGAAACGTGTACAATGGATGTTCTTGTAGTAGGCTTTTGTGTAATTCATGTGGTGAGAGAGTGACTGTATACCAGAACCATCATCACTTTAGAACATTCAGATTTCTATTTGACCGTATTGTAGCATTTTTCAAAGTTGTCTTATGTCTTAGTGGTCAACATACTAGTCATCTTAAGCTAATAGATGTATGCAAATTAATTACACTTACTATTACAACTAGGTAATGATTTCCGATCTAGATTTGAGTCGCTACTGCGTTTGATAAACACAAAAATTTGCTTCAATTCACCAGTCATATCAAGAAAACCGATGCCAGTAAAGGTTCATTAAGTTGACTACAGATTAGTTAACAGTCTTTAAAGAATTATGGATGAGGTATTTCGGAAACCACTTTATTTGGTCAACTACCCCAGAAACGTTGACAGAATTGTCATGGTTGTCTAACTAAGTATAGGTCTTAGAAACATTGTAAACTACTATCAGTTTTGTTTGGGTATCGAAAATGGTGATTTGAAAGGAACTGTCACTCCAAAGCAAATCGATTGTTTTGAAAGCGTGTGGTACATGTGACAATCTTTGAGATATAAGTCTACTACCAATAACTTCCAAAATACTGACTACCTTTAAATTGAAAGAATTGTACAAACTACATAAAAGACACTGACCTGACAATATTATCATTTCGTTTTTACATCCTATATTTTTACTGTTAATCATTTGAAGTAACAAAATAAAAACAATCAATTGTCACAAGCGCTTAGATGAAATCAGTTCTGCAGATCATTCACTTACTGTCTAATGAACCATGTTCAAACGAACTGGTCATATCATTTAGGGGTGCCAGTCGTTTTCTCTCTTTAGTTTCTCAATATCATTAAACATGAATATATGAATAGAAGGTTGTTTATCAAAATTGAAATTTGTTGTCGTTGCTGCTGTATTCCATTGTAGGATTATCGCTGGTGGTGGCGTTCACTATGTACAGGAGCTGGAACATCATTTTATTTATTTGTTTACTCCATTCATTATTTTGTGACACGTTTAGAATTTCAAGATGCAGTTTCGGCATTCCTTTATTTCGGTTATACAGCCATCATTTTATGGCTTAACTTTTTATTTACCAGTAAGCAAGTTGATATTATTATATAATGCGTACTTATTATCGAATACTTTTTTTTTCTTTATTTGAATGTCTTCCAGTTTTTATTTTTATCTGATGTAAGCTGTTATGGTTGTTGACCGACATGTTCTCGAAACACACACTGTTAACTGGAAGTGCAGCTGTTCAAGGAAATCTTTATCTTGATGTACAGAGTGTATGTTGTACTTTACAAAATATTCTCAATGTCCCGTCCATCCGTGAAATAAAATTCCTAGTCATGTATCAATACCCTCGCTCTCGGTTAAGAAGCGCAATTTCAAGAGCCTGTATCATTTTTGTATAGTACCTCAGGTTCGATAAATTAGACTATTGTAGATAGTGTTGCTCGCGTAAGCTTAGTTTACATTATTTTGATTTATCATCATCAAGATCTAGCCGTCGATTTCCTTGTTAGTTATCATTCAACCAAGTTGTTTTCTGTGATAATAATCATAATAACAATTTTTCGTGTTTTTTTGTCCCACCTGTTTCCACATCTAACTCATTGACTGCATGGTTTTCCAATGAATTACTATTGTGTATTAAACAGAGTTGGTTGGATATCCTTTTTCAGTAGTCTATGCCCCACGAAGGGTAATGAAGTGTTAGATATAAAATTGGGACTGTGTATTAACAAGAATTTAGTCTTATCACCGGGTTACTTGCTTATACAACAACTCATATTGGTCCCATATTCCGGTATGTGATACTGCTAGTTGTTCGCTTAAAGTATGTTTTTCATACTGAACAGTTATGAAGCATAGTGGGTTAGTGATTGAAACAGTTGTCCTTTGACCATTAGGTCACTTGTTTAACACTTACTCCGTCTATTTCCGTTTTTTTGACAGTCGGGTATCCTTCATGTAAAGCTGATTACATCATAGCTCATAGTTGATTAGAAGTTGCACTTAGATTTAATAAGACTTAGGCAAGGGGGATATGAACACTTTCTTGGCTATTATCTCTCTCATTTTCTATTCTTAGATTATATCGGTTACCAATTATCAGTATTTTTAGTGGCCGAATTTTAAATACTGTTCTACAACATTTAAAAAAATGTTTACTCTTGTTATTATCTTCGTCAGGTTCTGTTGGCTTTTACGCGTGCTTCTGGTTTGTTCGAAAAATTTACGGAGTTGTAAAAGTCGACTAAAGCGGTGGACTAGTGTGAAAAAGCCCCCGAAAAACAATTTTTTCATTGGAGAATAAAAAGAAAGACATATCTTTTGTTACCCAATCAAACGTTATGCGATATACTGTGACGCCGGTTGTTTTTTTCGGAACAACTTTCATTTCCGCTCTTTTTTTCCTGTTTTTGTAAATTTTCATTTCTGCATTGTACGATTATTACACATTATTATCATTAGTATCACCGTTTATTATCATTGTGTTTGTGCCTATGTTCCTTAATTAAGCACTAATAGACATCAATGCATAAACTATATAGATATAGCTCATGCACTGTTTTTTTCTTGGTTCTCTCGTCATATATTTTGATGCAAAAATCGTACATCGTATAATAAGCACTATACATTTCTATACTTCCAAGTTTTTTGTTCATACCAATCAAGTTAACAATCATGGTGATTTATATCACCTTCTGTGATACATATATATATATATATATATATATATATATATATAATACATTTCACGAAAGTAATTATTTAGTTCTTTAACAAGGTCATTCCTAACAACTTACTAGCTTCGGGGTCTATGCTGCCTAGTTGTGGGAACAGGCTGGAAGAGAGCTAGGAGTATAGCCAAACCAAGGCTTGTGATCGGTCCATGAAGTTATTGATTATTGAACTGAGCTATCTAATTAGATGCAGACTGTCTGGTTGGAGTTCATGTGACTATGGTAACCAATGGTTGGAAACAATCGCCCAGGTGCACTAACTATTTATCTACTCTTCTTTCCGGAATCCCGAAGTTTTCTTCGTACCTTTTTGTTTCTTTTCTTTTTGAACTCCAAATCTTTTCTATTACTACTGTTACATCACTTCTACTACTCTGAGATTTGTCTTGATTTCTATCTCGCAATGTTAATATGATGTGGCGTGAATCAACTCTCATGTGTCAAGTTCTAAAATGTATATGACTGACTGACTCAATAATGTCTATCCGCGCTTGCTTCTACGTTTGTAGGTTGTTGAAATTTCTTGTCGTATCACGTTACACTACTGTTGTTTATTTAATTTACGGAGGAATCAACTATAGACGGTCAATTAAGTCATTGGTTGTTCGACTGAATCTTGTTGTTTAGGATAGACTTTTAGATAGGATTTCCGTGATGATAGTCGTCTATTATGGGGGAAGTTGGATACAATAACCTGTCCCGTTTATTTTCTGGTTTATTTTAAATCTTGAGTTTAAAGTTAGCACTTCAATATCATTCGGTACTTTAAAAGTAAGTTAATGTCTTATTACAAATATATTCATTATTTAATGTCTTATGTCTAGCTTCTCGTCACATTTTGTATCATTTAACCTGCTGTGTTCTCTATCATGTTGCTTTTCTTGCTGTGATAATTTCAGTCAGTCAGTCAGTTACAACGTAGAACTTCATACGTACGTACATCAGTTCGAGTTGCCATACCACATCAGTTCAGAGATGCAGTTGTCGATTCAAATCCCATAGTGGTAGAAGCAGTAAGAGTATAAGTATTATGTTAAAGATAAGGGTTTGAAGGTGTTATTGAAGGAGTATAATACGGTGAAATAAATTTGGAAAGAGAAAAAGGATACGAACATGAAGAATTCAGAAGATTAGAATTTGGCAGAACAGAAAGAGTGGATGCACCTGAGCCATTGCAAACGATTTTGAGCCATGTCATTCAAGGTCTCTAACCATCGGTTGCTATCATTTCGTGGATCCCAACCAGGTGGTCTAGACCTACCAACATGGCTCAGTCCACTTGTCAGTGACTTCATGGATTTATATCATGTTTTGGTCTGGCCGTCCCTAGCTTTCTTCCGACCTACTCCTACACCATAAAACATTACACGTCGGGGCAGTCGGTGGTTTGGCATACGTAACACGTGTCCCAACCATCTCAACTGATGAAGTTTCACTACTTCATCAATCGATTTGCCATCCTTACCTAGTACCCGTTTCCTAACATCTGCATTACTTACCCGGTGGTCCCAGGATATACGAGCAATGCTTCGAAGACACCTGTGATCGAACACTAGTAGCCTACGAATATCCTCTAGTCTTATCGGCCATGTTTCACTGCGATAATGTAGGACGGAACGAACTGCTGCGCAGTAAATCCGTCCTTTTGTTGCAAGGCGGATATCTCGCCTACGCCATGAATGACGCAATTTAGCGGAAGCAAGACGAGCCTTCTGTATCCGTGCTGAGATTTCGTCACACACCGGACCACAAGGGCTGATGAGACTCCCAAGATAAGTGGAGCTGTCAACACGCTTAACTACTTCACTCCGTATCATTAGTTCAGGTGTCGATGCAACCCAATCCTGAAGTAACATTTTGCACTTCGAGGGAGAGAATCGCATCCCGAACATGCGTGTATAGTTGCTTATAGTGGTCAGAAGACTCTGCATGTTGTCAGCGTCTTCACCGAATAAAACGATGTCGTCGGTGTATTCTAAGTCAACAAGTGAATCTCCCGGTAAAAGTTCAACTCCAGGAGATTGAGATGATGAAAGTGATATCTCTAAAAGCTTATCAACGACAAAGTTAAACAAGAATGGGGAGAGTGGACAGCCCTGACGAACGCCACTTGAGGTAATCAGTTCCGATGACAGTTCGCCATAGGCTCTAACTCGACCAGTTGTGTTCGAGTAGAGAGCCTTTATGAGGTTAATGTACTTCTTTGGTACTCCTTTCACTGACAAACACTGCCATAGAACCTCACGATCAACGGAGTCAAATGCCGTCTTAAGGTCAAGAAACACTACTATTGTGGGACGTCTGAATGTACGTCTATGTTCTAGGACCTAACGTAGAGTGAATATCTGGTCTATGCAACTACGTCCAGGTCGAAAACCAGCCTGGTTTTCTCTAGTCTGCTCTTCACGAGCTTTGGTTAGGCGACCTAGTATTATTGAAGCTAATATTTTAGACACTATATTAGTCAAACTGATTCCTCTGTGATTGTCACAGGAGGACTTTTGTCCTTTGTTATAGACTGGCACAATCAGTGATTGGGACCAGTCAGATGGAACTACGTCCAGTTCCCAGATTCTACCTAAGACCTCAGTCAATCTCGCTGCTAGTACTGGACCACCCTCCCTAAAAATCTCAGGGGTCAACCTGTGAGGGCCTGCTGCTCTCCCTCGCTTCAGATTTCCTATAGCTTTTTCAACCTCGCAGAGGGTTGGAGGACTTACATCAATTTGTCATTCAGGACGACTGGGGATCGTGGGTAACTGAAGTGTGGCTGAAGGCCAGTTGAACTGATCCCTAAAGTGTTCTGCCCATCGATCCGATCTCCTGGGTTGAGAGTGAATAATATGCCCATCTTTGTCTGAGATAGTTTCGCTAATAGTTGGGTTCCTAATACCGGTTTCTTTAATAAGTCTGAACAGCTGTCTGCTGTTACCTATTGCCGCTGCCTTTTCCATCTCTCTTGCTCTCGCTACCCACCACTGTTCACGATCATTGCGTAGGCTTCTTATTATCCTTCGCTTAAGCTGACTCCGCTCTTCGTTATGTTTAAAGCCAGGTGGGATGAATTTTCGAGCATCTATCAGTGCCGTAGATGCTGCCGAGATCCATTGTTTCTCCCTGACCTTATGGCTTACCTTACTAGCGGATATCACTGCTGTTTCTACAGCTTTTCGGATGTCATTCCACGCTGCTTCGGGGTGGGCACAACTTGCATGTCTGTTTAACTGTTTTTCCAGTTGTTCCTGAAATATATTCTTACCTTGCTTATCATTAAGTAGAGGCTTCCTTGCAGTGTCTTTCTTACGTCCAGTAAGACGCAGACAGATACGTGCTCGCACTAGAGCATGATCTGAGTCTAAACATGTGCTCCAGAATGAGCGACAGTCTTCTATCGAGCCCCTCTATCGGTGGCTGATAGCGATTTGGTCTAATTGGGTCCAACGTTGGGACGAATTCGGGGGTCGCCATGTTAAAAGATGTTTTTCCTTATGCTTAAAGTTAGTATTTGTAAGAAATAGGCGGTTATCTGAGCACAGCTGCAACAGACGGTCGCCATTATCTGTTCTTTTAGCCACAACACCATAAGATCCACCCAGGTAACTTTCCCTTTCTCCTAGTTTACCTACTTGAACATTAAGGTCACTACTACATCAGAACGCTTAGCTTTACGGAAAAGGTCAGACGTGGGAAGGGTTAGTCGTGGAGATAAGAGAGTTATTAGGAGTAGGAAGGATTTGAAAGTGACCAGCTTGGTCTCGTGTGCTGTTACGGGTATGAGGGCTAATATCACTTCCCGGCTGCCCACACCGTGGATGGATATTTCTTGAGGGACCTGAAAAAGAAGTTGGATTAGTGTTGATCTTAACGACCTGGGAGCGTGACCGCAGTGCCCAAGGGACAACTGCTTGAGGCCGGTCACGTATGGCCTTTTTGTGGGGGATTTTTGACGTGTTAGCTCCGTTCTTCAAAAGTCCTTACCACCGGAGACGGAAATCCGTGGGATAAGGCGGTGTGCATTTTTAGGGTCGACCTTTTCTAACCCCACCCCTCCTTGTGGGAAGGCAGTATCGCTGTCATGCTGGTTGTCTGAAGGAAACACCTTACTGCCGTCACACCTTTGTACAGTCGGCAGTACGACTTCGCCTTCGGACCTTGGGATTGCTGCTTTTAGTCTTATCGCTCTTCAACCGACCTGTCTGGCATGGTAGTACCTCGAGGAACAATTGTTCCAGCCAGCATAGCTCGATTGCTTCATCACGATAGGCAAGCCCGACCACCACGTCAAGGTAGCAGCAACGGTCGGAGCTGTGATGATTTGGAGTCTAGCAACTGGTCTATTACCAGTGACTGACTCTTTGTTAGGAATCAATCTTTGGGTCACTAAGTCCTAGGTTCGAATTCCCATCTAATTCAATTTGAACAGCCAGGTAGTCTGATTATCTCTCACATTTGGATGATGATTCTTATCCAGTTACCTGGTAAATGAGTCATTACGCTATTATTATATACTATAA